TCTCGCATATTATCGAGTTCTGATTACCACAGCGTCTTGAACGGAAGTGTGTGGGGGTGGGGGGTGAGGTACCGGGAACTGAGGAAGGATGAATGGGGGGTGGGTGAGGAGGAGGGGTGGGTGTGGAGGAGGGGTGGGGAAAGGGAAAGGAAGAGGAGAGGAGGAGGTAGAGGAAGGAAGAAGAAATGAAGAGGGGTGGGGGTGAAGGAGGTTAAAAGAACAAGAAAGAAAAGAGTAGTAAGGAAGAAATGGGAGAGAAGGAGGAAGGGTGGGGAGGAGGAGGAGGAAGGGCGGACAGGAGGAGGAGGAGGAGGAAAGAAAAAAGAAGATAAGAAAAAGAGAAAGGAGAGAAAGAGGGGAATGCAGAAGGGGAGGAGATGGAAAGGGAGTGGGAAAAAAGAAAGAGAGAGGAAAGAAACAGAGAAAAAGAGGTACATGAATGGAAGAAGAGAAGGCTAAGAGAGAGAGAAGAAGAAGGAGAAGGAGAAGAAAAGAAGAAGAAAGACAGAGAACGAGAAGGAGGTGGCGGAAGAGTAAAGGGAAGAGGAAGAGAGAGAGAGAGAGAGAGAGAGAGTCTAGAATCTAATCCCCAATAAATTCGTTGTATAAACCCAAACATCTAACATCTATGCAGTGAACCTACAGTTACAGTCAACATACATTCTGTTCCCAGTCGTGTCATCTTCATCAATTCGCCTTCAGTAGTGATCGATCGTGCGTAGGGATTAATAAACCTCCTGGGTGTGAAAATCTTACCCCCTGAGAACGAGTCGGTGTGAATCATGCAGACATTCCCAAAACTAATCTCTCTTCTTTGCTGGGATAATTAGACATGTTCTACAAGTGCAAGGGGAGATTTATGGGGTTTTGAAATTAGTTACGGTGAGTTGAGTCTTTCCCACAGCTCTTCGTGGAGATTAATGTATTATTATTGTATATATGTGTGAATGTAAAATAACTGTATATAAATTAACCAAATCAAGCCGGGGAAAAAAGTGTATAGTCACTGAGTATGTGGTAACAAGTAATGTCAGTGTATTACCTGTAAGTTCCAGCCACAATATTTTGCAGAAATTTACTATGAGACAGACAGACAGAAAGACAGACAGACAGAGAAAAAGAGATAGACAGGGAGAGAGAACAAAGAGAGAGAGATAATAATCTATGGCTCAGATAATGGTGTCTCTCCTCCCCGCCTGTGAGACTCGGGCCGTCTTTTCATGTAAATATCAAGTTATGTTTTATTGAGCTCGCGGGGTCTAACAGTAGTTCTTGGACACTTTTGTTATAATGAGTGTAAACTGTCCCGACGTTCCCACGGCTGGAGGTCCCAGAGCCCCTAGAGGAGGACGTCACAGAGCTCCTAGAGGAGGACGTCACAGAGCCCTAGAGGAGGACGTTACAGAGCCCCTAGAGGAGGACGTCACGGAGTCCCTCGGGGAGAATATCACAGAGCTCCTAGAATAGGACGCCACAGAGCCCCTTGAAGAGGACGTCACAGAGCTCTTAGGGGAAAAATATCGGAGAGCCCCTGAAGAGGATTTCACAGAGCCCCTAGAGGAGGACTATCACTGAGCCCCTGAGGAGGACGTCACAGAACCCGAAAAGCAGGACGTCACAGAGCCCCAGGAAGATAATATCCTAGAGACCCCTGGAGGAGGACATACAAAGGTTCCCACGGCTAGAGGAAGGTCCTAGAGCCCCTGGAGGACGTCTGAGGGTTCCCACGAGTGTAGGACGTCCTGGGGATGAGAACTCTCCGACAACTACTGTGAGATTCTTCATGAGTCGACCACACTCACTCACACACTCACCTCGTTCGCAACAGATGGTGGCGAAGTGTGTGTGTGTGTGTGTGTGTGTGTGTGTGTGTACTTTACCTGTGAAGTTTCTGTTTTGTTAATTTACCTTCTAGTCTGCCAGCTTCTACGTAACTTTTATACATACATACATACATACGTACATACATACATACATGCATACTGTACATAAATACATACATACATACATACATACATACATACATACAAACATACATACATACACAAATATATAAACACATATACAAATATGCCTACATACATACATACATAATAAATAAATAATGATTGCCCCTCGTGTAACGAGGATGACCGGCCCAAGGGCCACCTAGGCGTGAATTAGGGTATAGAAGCTGCTGCAAACACAACAACCACACCCTGAGTTAACGAGCTGCTTGACCCAGTGTCAAGGAATAGTCCGAGAAGACCGGACAACTCGCCAACTGCACTGGCTAACCATTACCCCGTAATACGATCCGCAATTCGGTTAACATCCAGGTTCCCAATTACTGCTGGGAAGACAGAGGCAAATGTCGTAAAGAAACTTGCCCATAGTTTCACTCTGCCCGGGGATCGAGCCCGGGTCCGCACGCTTGCGAGGTGAGCATGCTGACCATTACATCACAGGCATAACAATCACTTCTCTGTGTTCGAGGATGGAAAGAATTTGTTTAAGACGCACGAACCTGCCCCTGACACAACACCCACACCCTGCCTAAACTAACGAGCAATATAATCCAGTGTTAACAAGTAGCCCGTGAAGACCGGATAACTCCCAAACCGCACTGGCTAACGATAACTACGGGGATACAAACAACCAGTCAATTTATACTGATTCGGTAATTATATGCAAATGAAATAAAGAAACTTGTTAATCGTCTCATCCTAAGGTTCCTACTCAGGGCCATTTGTGTGTGATGCGAGTATGCTGACCAACTACAGTACACACATACATACATACATACTTACATACATAAATATACATGGTTTATTCGATTGGATCAGTACCTGTCCTATACTTGAAGTCTCTCCTGTTGAACAAATATAAAGCCTTTCACCATCCAATAATATAAAATCTAAATAATTCTGTTGGTTAGAGAAAATCTGAAAAAAAAATAAAAACTAAAAAAAAATAAAAAAACAGCTATATAAATTAAAATAAAGACATAAAATGTATCTAGTTTATGTAAATGTTCTATGACTTTTATACAGATCAGAGATAAACGGAAGACTGACAAAAAAAAGACAAAATGAGAGAATTAATGACAAAAAAGAGATAGAAAGAGAATAAGAGGGAAAGAAGAGGAATAAATTAGGAAGACATCATTCAAGAATAATAAAACCTTAACATTTCCCACGAATAATCAGAGGTGATTTCCCTCCTGTGAGTGGTTCTTTACCTGTGCTTCTTCCTCCAACAGGTAAGTAATGATCCTGCAGTTCCCTCTCTTTATTGACGTCTTGCACACACACACACACACACACACACACACACACACACACACATAAACTAGCATATACATACATACATACATACATACATACATACATATTCATACTTACATACATGCATACATTCATACATACATACACACTTGCACAGACACACACACACACACACGGGATATCTACATCAACTTTTTCTTCCCACCAGCGCCAGGAAACGGACGTAAACTATCAGGGCTGCCCATAAACAAGTGACGGTCGACGGATTCATTGGTGTATTGAGTTAAATAAGTCAGTGTTTCTTTTTTCTTACTCAGTATTAATAGGATTACTAGTCAGTGTTTTCTCAGTATTAGAGAATTACGAGCCAGAGTGTGTTAGTACATATAAGATTTGAAGTTAGTTTTACACGATAACAAGTCAGTGTTTGTCAGTATGTCAAGATTACTTGTGTTTCGTCAGCATTACAGGATAACAAGACAGTTTTTGTCAGTATTACGGGATTATAGTTTAGTTTAGGTTATGTTTTTTTTGTTTTTGTTTTTTTACGGTGGATTAGCTCACTCGGGCACAGGTCACCGACCCACATCGGGTCCTGGGGGGCGAAAAAAAATGAACCAAAATAATTATAGAAATGAAAATAAATATAACTAAAAAATATGAAGAGTGAGAAACAATATATGTATGTTGTGTTGGCAATAGTAAGAGAAACAATTGAGACCCTGCAATTGTGTGTAAATGAGGCAGAAAGTCAGATCAGCAACCTGGGACTTGATCACAATTTTCGTGATGCCATATGGCAGCAGGGTCTACCATTAGACAACACATTATGCTTCCAATATCTTCCTAGGCGGTAGTACCTCCCTGTTTGGTAGCTGCCTACTACCTACTACCTGTGTACTACCTACTACCTCTTTTGGGTTATGATAGGTTAGGTTAGTTTAGTTTAGGTTTCTTAGGTTAGGTTAGATAAAATATACATAGTACATAAGTAATATAAGTGAATCATCTTGTAAGTCAACGCCTGTATAACACACCATTAAAACAATCAATACCTTATTTCACTAATGTATCAACACTACGTTTCTACACACACCCACGATGGAAAAACACCTTAATGTACCGCATGAAGATTAGGCACCCTAACTTTTTTCTCCTGAAGATTAACAACCCTAATGTTATTTGCAGGATTAGGTTACGGTATGTTAGGTTAGGTTAGGTTAGATTAGGTTAGATTAGGTTAGGTTAGGTTAGGTTAGGTTAGGTTAGGTTAGGTTAGGTTAGGTAAGCGTTAGTGTGTTTAATCTTCGTGTAAAATTAGAAGGGGGGTTTAACATTCAGGTGATCTATTTCAACAACTGTAAAGGAAATAATACAAAATGGTTCATCAACAAGACAGTTTTAATGACCAATAAACACTTTACTCAAACACAAGATTATGGAAAATGAAAGAGATTCTTTGGCTGTTGGTCTGAAATATAGAGAACGAGGAATGTAAACACGTTACCAGTACAGTACTACAGTAATAGTGCGGTAACCAGTGAGGTGTGTCACTAGCCACGAGTTAAAGAGACCTCAGTTTAAGTCATTGTTATTTACTACCATTATTTTTTGTAGATTTTAAACTAATAACAATAATGATGATAATAATAATATTAATATTAACAATAACAGTAATAAAAATAATTATGGTCACAGTAATAATAAGAACAATAATAACGACAATAATGATGATAATAATAATAATAATAATAATAATAATAATAATAATAATAATAATAATAATCTCATACCCCATCACTTGAAACCACTATTCTAACAACCAACTTTTTCGCATCTTACCTGTAGTGTCTCAAGAGAGTCTGAGGGATCATGTGTACAAACACAACACACTATAAAACTAAATCTAATCACAGCCCTATTAAAGCCATTCAGTGGAACCTATAAGCACACATAGGTACGGAAAACTGCATCTGTTATCTGGGTTTAAAATTCAGTAGAATATTTTTAATTTGCTTTCTGTGACTGACCTTGTACCAACACGCACAGGTATGAGCTCACACTCACTAATACTGGTCTGAGATTTCAGCTATGAATTGCGTTTGTTTCTTTTTTTTTCTATGGAAACATATGCAAACAGAATTGTATATTATGTTTATATTCATATAGCATCAGAGTTGCTTATTTTTATCTAAGATAAGCAAAATACCGTTCAAGAGAATAGTGGGTCATGTATTGGTGGACGTGCGGGAGGGGTCACCTGCTTGGCTCCAGGATATGAATACAGTACAGTACCTCACAGAGGAATGTCGCATAGAATGACAAACAGGGAACACCCTCTTGTTTCACTAGTTTGATATCTTTCCATTTCTTTACGTGCACGAGATCAACAAGACTACCAATCACAGGTATCCTCGACGCCTTAAACATTTTATAAAATAAACCTGTCAACACAGTAGTCGTTGGAGCTCCTATAGGTAACATTATACCATGCAAATTCACTTCAACATCACTTTCTGTCTTTGTTCACTAATTTCATAATTATACTCGAGGCGTCAAAATTCGTGTCATATTTGAAGAAAAAGAAATCATGATGAATTCACTGGTTACATTTACACTGTGGGACGAGACGTGAATCGTGGCCACTGAAGAAACATTGTTGTTTGTAGACCAAGGTGACAAACCATTAACAAAATAGTCCTCTTTCGTAGTTTACAAGTCACTGTTGTGTCACAAATCACGGCGGTGAATCAAGATGAGCCTCTTGAAAGAAGCAGTTGTTGGAGGTGAATAATTATTAACACAGGGAATAATTGCATCTTAGGTCACGGAACTTTGGTAGAAAGTAAATCATTCATCCGAGGATCAGTGGTCACCAGGGCCGCCATGGTTGTGACCGGTGGCAAGGCTGTGGGATGTAGTAAGGTGCGGGTCGTCGCCAGGGAAACTCGGAGGCCGCCTTGAACGACCGACGCCCACACACGGCATCTCGCGACTGGTTGTTTGTCACAAGATTTAGAGGTTCGTGTAATGATGCAGGAGAAGCGGTGGAGGGCGTCGGTGCAGCAGGAGACTCTGTGGCAAGAATGGTGAGAGAGTAAGGTGTGTGGAGTTGAGAGTGATCGGTGTCTGCTGCAGCAGGAGTGGACTGTGGCAGCGTGGGTGTGGGTTTCACCAGCGTGGAGGAGCCGAGAGTGCACCACGACGAAGCGGAGTAGTTCGAGCGAGCACTGGTAACTTCTCTGCTAACGTTGGAGAAACTTCGGGAGATCTGGGGGTTGGCGGGTGAAGGCCACGTCTCTGAGGTGGTTGGAATTCCGCCCGGGAAGGTTGACGATGTCACCAGGACGTTAGTCTCTGTCGTGTTGTGCTGTGTAACCTGATTTTCAATGGAAGTGGATGACGCGGTGAGGTTAACTCCTTGTAAATTATGAGTCAGCAATTGGGTTGTGGCTCCGGTGGTTTGAGAACAGCTGTTTTCGTCGACCTTTGGCGACAAGTTTTGCGATGCCATCAGACTACTAGTAGTAATAACTGGAAGATTTCTGGAAAACAAAATCTGACTAGAAGAAATATTAGATTCTCCATCAAATAAAGTCGGTAAGTTTTTTGGTAGGGTAAAGTTGATATTCTTAGAAGTGTGACAACTAAGCGGAAACACAGGATTGTCGGACCTGAAGGACGACACACTTGTTGCTGCGTCCTTTAAGAACGTATTGGCAGAGGGCGCCAGTCGGTCAATACTTGTAGAGTCTGTTCTAGACGAATTACTGAAAGGAACTGCTGGAACAGTACTACCAGGTGCTTGATTGCTCATACTGTTAACGACGGGGACAGGAGTAGTGTCAGCAGGGAGGGCGGTACCAGGGGGCAACACGAGAGCCACCTGACCAGACGCAAGCCGAGCTGGTACTAAAGTAACGCCCGCACCCACCGTCACCGAAGTGGTGGGTGTGGAGGCAGGTGGCGATTTTGGGGATGTCAAAGGCGGGGGACTCCTGAATTGTATAGTGGTGGAGGCATAGTCAGGTCTTTCGGGCAGGCTGAGTCCTCCAGTGCTGGAGTCTGCGGCAGTGGTGATAACAAGAGGAGGAGCTATAGGGGACGTGTGGCCAGTGAGGGGCGGGGCAACAGTGACCATACCCCCACCCACCATCACACTGGCTCCTCCAGGTGGTACTCCTGGCGTGTGTGTCGCCCCGGGACAGCTCGTGACACTATTGGAGACGGAGTTGAGATGCGATATGACCTTGTTGTGGAGGTCATTGGGCACCCCGTTCATATTAGACAGGTATTTGGTTACCTCCACGGCACACTGAATAAATCCCGCGCGATACTTAGCTTTCTCGTCACTACCCATTGTCTTCCCGCCGCCCATCACCCGACCACCACCCACCAGCCGGCCGCCCGCAGTTACCTCATGACGGTGCAGCGTCTGCACGTGTCGCACTGTCATCTCCAGGATGTCTGCCTTCTCCAGCTTGCTGTACCGCGATGGCTGTAAAAAGATCACATTATGGTATTAACCTTCCTCAAGTGGAGTTACCATGCTCTCTCATGTGTAAAGGAAACTGCTCAAATACAAAGGACATTCAGTATTTTGGGGGCAGTAGTGCCTGATCTAGAAGTGTTTAAGTGACGATAGAAAAAAACTAAAAATTTTCCATGTACTCACGTCTTTTTTAAGTGCCTCCAGCACGAGGGTCTTTAGTTCATTAAGGCAGCGGTTGATGCGTTGACGACGCTTCTTCTCCATCAGCGGCTTGTTGCTCTGAGGGACGAGGGAGAGATTAAGTAATGACCTTACAGACACACACACACACACACACACATACATGATGTGGGTATAATTAACACACTTCATAATCATTTACAAAAAATCTAACCACGGAACATATACTGTACTGTAACTTACTGTAAGTCAGTAACAACTAAAATAAATCAAATAAAACACAAAAAGTAAACGTCTCCCATTTACTCACCCGTCTGGTGTCTATTTTGGACACTAGATCCCCATCTAAGGCGGAGGTGGTGTCCATAGTGCACATGTCCTCCCGCTCACTCTGCCACCCAACAGGAACGGGCACTACGGTAGTAAACCGTATACGCTAAACACATATGGCAAGTTCTGAAACGTCTTGTTAGGGGAGTGTTAATCCTGCGTTGGGGAAATAGGAGTGTCGGGACGATACTAAGTTTCCCCCATCCCTCCCTCCTTCCGCCAGCAGCAACAGCTCCCACGGTTCCGGCCGCGATGGAGCCTCAGTTGCTAGCTACCAAATCGTTAAAATCACTAGCGCAGCGAGTGTTTTGCCGGGGACTTCATATCTTGTTTCTACTAAAATTGGTTGATATTTACTGTCCCCACACGAGTATGCAAATTACGATTCGATTTCAATGTTCTAGAGGTATAAATATTTGTATAATCAACAGCAGCAGTTTATCCGCGCGACCCAATCCCTGTGCTCCTCCTACTCCCGTTTCTTGGCCAATCAGCGGCAACCCAAGTGGCGACGTACCTTTAGGTGATAATCCAATTAAATAAGTTATCCTGACTCCCATTGTTTCAAGCCAAGGTTACTTCTCAACATAATTAACTATGCTTATTATGAATCTTGACAAAAATTATTATAGTGAGACGACAGATACTCTTCTAAATAATAATGGGTGTACTATTGTCAACCTTGTAGAACAATGTACAGTGTTCATAAATGAACCTCACTTCTCATTCATAACAGTGAGCAGACACGCCCTACCTATTGTGTGTTTACCATTACAAAAATAACATGGTTGGGTAATGTTTTACGCGAATAAACCCATAACTACTCATATTCGTTAAAATAAAACTACAGTGTGTTTGTATATATCACACTTCCGGTAATATTGAAAAAGTTCTTCGCGACACTTGTGGTTGAGAGAGGCGAGGAGGTGGTGGGAACAGAAGCCAATGATAGAGAGAGGAAGTGATAGTGCTGTGGTTGAACACGGTGATAAAAACACTGATAATATGGTGAGAAAGTTAATGTGCGAGTCGCGAGGGAGAGTAAAGGTGTAAGAGGAAAGACAAGAAATGAAGAAAAACAACGAATAAAAAGGAGAAAGAAGGCAATGAAAAACAAAAGTGAAAATTACATACTATGCATCAATACCAATAAAAGAAAATAGTCTCTGTATATAAATGAAAAGAGACGTGACCGATCGCCCAAGCGGCTAACAAGCCGATCAGTGGCGAAGAGGATAAAAGAAAGAAAAGATTGGATTGAGACACTACTAGACCTTTCAGGTCTTGTGGCTGTTTTATACATGGCAAAAACTGGGAAGTGATCTGAGATATTGTTATAAATAATTCCACTTGCAAGATTGTTAGGAGTGTTGTTAGTCCAGATATGATCTATCACAGTGGCAGCGGTGGCAGTTACTCTAGTGGGTTTGGTTATAGTGTTGAAGAAGAGTTTAGAATGACAGGTAGCAAGAAGATTTAATACTGAGGTGTCGGTTTCTGATTTTAATAGATCAAGGTTGAAATCTCCTGTAATGTAGCAATGTTTCCTCTCTGAACTTATGATATTGATAAGCTCCGAAAATTTATCAAGAAAATTCCTTACATTAGTGTGGGGTCTTCTGTAGATTATCCCTACTAGGATATTTCGTGTGTCGTTACGTAATTCAATGAAAACACTCTCCATGTACTCCTCCTGAATCCCTTAAATAATCTCTTACAGGAGTGTTATACTTGATATCAACATATAGGCGACACCACCACTGTGTCGTGACGTGTTGAAGCAGTGTCTATTATAATTAGGAATGTTATACAAATGGTCAATATCGTTAGTGAGTTTGGTCTCACAGAACCCAAGTACATTACAAGATAAACACTGATCTAAAAGGAATACTGCTGATGTTATGGCTAATCAAGGAGAAGGAATGAGGTAGTAGGAGACTAGAACTAAACTCGGGAGAGTCAGGAAAGTTACAGTTAGTTGGTGTAACCAGTGAGTTTTGTAGAAAGGCATCAGGATCAATATGGAGTATTGTGTCTAAGGGAATGACACTAGCATCATCATTGTGGGAACATTGATACTGATTAAAGCAAGTAAAACCTAGGTCACTGGGGTGAAAAAGGAAGATATGTGAAATATAATAAATACACAGTGCTACAACCAACAGAATTAGGATGACCGGTACTGTTGAGGGTGATTCCCAGATAGAGTGGGAGGTGCTCCTGTCACTCGGTTTGAGGGTTGCTGGTTTCCACCACAGAGGGTAGACGTGTAGTACTCGAGATGGCCGGCAGGAAACTCAGGTGATAGCGACAGTGACTGGTTCACCAGTGGGGAGGGATTCGAAGGACTAGGGGTTGTACAGCGTGGGTGAGGGCGGGTGTCCACTTGCCCAACTCACAACAAGGGTTTTATGACTGAACGTCACGTGTTTCCCTTGTTTCCTGGCTTCTTTAAACTGGTCCATTTTCTGTAGACGGGCTTTAGTCGTACCTGGGCAGAGATCCTCGTTGACGAAGATAGTACTGCCTTTCAGTTTACTGCGTTGATAAAATCCTTTGTCACGGTCAGAAGGGGATGAGAATTTTGCTATGATGTCGCGGGGGCGGGAGGAGTTGGGTTTCCCGACGCGTTGAGCACGGTCAAACTTTACTTCAGGAAGTTTAAAATGTTCATTCAGCAGGCGTGAAATTTTGCGTTGGGATTATTCCCAGCTCTCGTGGATATCTTTAGGGATTCCGGCAATCCTGAAGTTGTTTCGCAACCCTATGTCATCCACATGGAGATGATGAATGGATGAGTGATGGAGATGATGGATGAATGAGTGAAGATGATGAATGGATGAGTGTTGGAGATTATGAATGGATGAGTGATGGAGATGATGATGGAGAGTGAGATGATGAATGGATGAGTGATGGAGATGATGGATGAATGGATGATGGGGATTATGGATGGATGATTTATGGATATGATAAATGGGTGAGTGGTGGAGATGTTGGATGGATGAATGGTGAAAATGACTGATGGATGAGTGATGGAGATGATGAATGGGTGACTGATGAATATGATGAATGGATGACTGATGTAGATGATGAGTGGATGAGTGATGGAGATGATGCAATGGATTAGCGATGGGGATGATGGATGGATGAGTGATAGAAAATAAATCGAAATTCCACAAAACGACACAACCACAACAATTAACACGTATATCACAACAAACAAACTAATCACATCAGCCACACACAATTACAACCACGTCGAAACTGAGTCATTTGTCCTGGTCATCAACATCCTGGGCACCTACTTGACCTGACCCCGGGGAATAAGACCATGGCACAAGTTATTTATATCCGAAAAATTGGTCACGGGACAGTACTTATGCAGGTATGATGGTACAAACCGCTGTAAGCATGTTCAATACTGGTTGTCTTGTACGTACTGTATTTCATTATGCAGTGTTGTTAAAATTGGTGTTTAATGGAACCTTGTGTCTTAGTGGTGTGTTTGAGAGTTAACGCACTGAGTAAAATCTAGAGCACTATCTCACCTGCAGGGTCGATTTTTTTCGAGAGAAATTTTTTTCTGATAAACAACAATAGTTATGGATTCTTTAGGTTTCGATGATTGGGGAGTTTTGTCTGTGATATCTGGTAAAGATTTGGTGAAGATCGTAACTTCAAGGCTCCAGACTCTTGAGTCTCAAAGGTTAGGTTAGGTCATATTTTCAATGGTTCGTGCCATGAGTAGTTCTTGTAACCCAAAATGAAAGAATACAATTGACCAGTTAACCTAAAATCTAAGACACAAATATAATGTTTAAAAGTAAGCCATGTTCACATAGCAAGACAGAATTAGCATAAGAGAACATAACCGAAGGTTCTTTATGCTTTGTTCTCTAACTGTAGCTGTGTGATGATATCTACTTAAGGTCTCAGTGTAAATTTGGTACTAGTTTTGGATATATTCCTTGCTTTTGCTTAAGTCAAACCAGTCGTGTTTATTCGTACATGTTCAGTTTTGTGTACTATTCATCACACGAACCTTTGAGAATCTAACCTAACCTTTAATAACCTGAGCTCTAATGTGGTCGCCTTCATGTAGTGACTTAGTAAAAGTATAAACACAAAGGTACAATCAAAGACAAAAGTTGTGTCGCAGTTTTGTCCGAAGATTAAATATAACTCGTGAAACATTATGAGAGCCCCCTACCACAAGGCGGAGCGCACCAAAAGTTTTAGCCCTTCGGCATATGTTTTCACCAAATTTCACGACACGACTTTTGTCTTTCATTGTACAATTCGTTCTGAAAGACTAGACAATAAAACATGGCTGTCAATACTAATGAAACATGGCAGATATCCTCCGTAGAGACTTACCCAACTGCTATTCACTTATACAGCACTAGTTTTCTTGTACAGCTGTTATGGAGATTGTTTCAATATATTTAGACGTAAAGATTTTAAAATGACATTTGCCTTTCACATCTACGCATAAGCCAAAATTAATACTCCATTTTTGCCTCATTTTCACAAATTCATTGACCAACCAACCAACCAGTAACCGAGGTTAAATGACACATCTGATGCGTATTTACATGGTATAATATATTTATTAGTCCCAAAGTCTGTGTATACATGACAAACATCACAGATGAGAGTTGAGATATAAGCGGCGGATTAGTAATATGACGGGGAACGGCGTGAGCGTCACGGGGCACCAGCGGGCCACTGAACAACACATGAGCGACTGGACATGAATTCTCAGTTTCGCATCTTGTTTGTTTTCTCTTAAGCTGGGAACAAGAATCACCCACTTATTATAGTAGAGCCTCGTCACAAATTCAACATTCTTTTTGATACGAACATTATATTATGAACCAAGTGAGTCATTTAGATGTGTTCTCACAAAAACCAATACGAATGGAAACGTAAGAACCATTGAGAATCCTTGTCCAGTGTATGGAGCCTCACATGCGTGAAACAAATGTTTTATAAGAGATAACTTAACGTCCAAAAACTCATAAGAGGTAACTTGGCTCTTCAGTGTATGTATTATTATTCAAGACAACGAGAGATGAAATTGGAAGAGAATTTCATAGAATTAGAATTAAGATGACGGCAATACGAGAGGTCCTGGATGATGGTCACTCTGCTGGTACATTTTTAATTTTTTGTCTTTCACAGGAAGACAAAAAGGGCACTGTGTTTAAATTTATTATTGTCTGATAAAGCGTATATGAAGGGTATAAAACCAAAGAAATTATGAATTTGATGTATTATGTAAACATATTAGGAGCAAGAGGTGGACATAGTGTGTTGATGGGAAAGGGTATGGTGTGGAAGGTTTGCTGTGTGATGGCAGAGAAGGAATCTGTAGTGTGGTGGTAGGAAGGCTCTGGCGTAACGGCAGGGAGGGAGTGGTGTGCTGTGATGGCAGGGAGGATGTCGTGTGAATGTCTGGAGGGTGAAAAATAAATCACTAACATACATCTGTCATAATAAAACTCTATAAATAATCACAAGGAAGCCACATAGCAATCTTTGGATACAGGGTTATTAAAGAAGTGGTGAATTATCTCACAAAGTAAATACGGGAAAGATAAACATGAAATGAATACGTATATAATAAACCTTATGTGACAGATGTAAGAATGTGCAGACTTGCTTATGAGGACGATACTTGAAGGGGCCCAGTCGACCTTCCAGGGCACGACCTATCCACAGCTCTCCAGGTAACTTTAGGAAAAAACGGAAGGTTTCGATTTCAGTCACGCACTAACGCGGTTCAACTCATCTCATATACATATTTTGACTCGAAAGATACACACTTATGGCTCTACTAGAGTTGGTTTTGCATTATTTGATACACACACACACACACACTTGGGAGGTGCCGGGAAGAAGCACACTGGGGGAAGGAAGTATTGATCAACCTTTACTATTCATCACTGTGACAGAACTGCTTCACCACAGTCTAAAACAAACAGCATGAGTCAGCAATATTTTTTAGTACACTACAATTTCAATATATTTTTCTCATTCGTCTCATTTAGCTCGAGCGTTTGAGTGACCGTTTGCCGCCTTCCAATTAGTGTCATTTTATAAAAAAAAAATGCTCGTGTGTGTATATATATATATATATCGAATATATTTCATAAACTGTGTAATTTAGAATTACATTCACGAATTCTTCAACATCAGACCTATGACGCCACAATCTTGCTACAATATACATCTGGGGGGTTAGTGGCAACGAAGGCGGTACACTTGACCTTGCTAAAATATACAGCAACTTCATGATGACATAAGGATATTCATTTTTTCCATTAAAGTTACAGCAATAGTAAACAACAAGAATAATTAACAATGAACTTTAATAGCGAAGGTGAAACAAGATTAGAAGTTATATAATTGGTGGGTTGGGTTGAGCGTCGAGGCTGTTGCAGTAAGGTTGAAACCACCACTATCAGACTTGTCTTCATAGGTAAATAAGTTACATGGCTGTGGTGAAGGAGGGGCGTCTTGGGTTCTGGTGGGACGTGGGCGTTACGATGCGGGTGGTTACCACTGTTGGTATCACAAGGTTGCTGGGTCCCACGGCTGGGTTTGGCGATACCGACGAAGGACGGAGTGTAGTGTGGTTGGTGTGGGAGACATCACAGACGAGTGGGCGGCGCGTCCTGTATGGATACTTCTTAACGTCGAAGATCCTACAGCACTAGTCGAGGTTACCCAGGGGAAGGTGCTCCTTAATCAGCTGTTGGGACACAATAAGAACGATTCTTATCACCTGAGGTTGGCTGAAAATACGATAAATATTATTTACATCATCAAGCTATAACTGTAGTGTCACTTACTGTACTCAAGATCTGGCCGGTACACTCTCGTCATGCAACTTGCCAGTACAAATACTATGCTACAACAACTGAGATACAGCCTATAACTTGTTTCTATACATCAATACATTTCCATTCCTATCTATGTTAAGACACAACTAAATAATATTGTCACAACTTAGGCATTCCAATATTGGTGCTGTACATCATTCCTAAATCTGCAGTTGAACTTTCATATCTAAATATAGTTTGTGAAGGTGAATATAACGTATAGAAAAAAATAATCAGTGGAACTTGCCTTAACTGTACATGGCTAAGGGCATGAATGTCTTCATTAGGAACTATCCGAATTTCCACTCACAACAAACTCTCTACGTTATAATAATTTTCTATTCTGACATTGGAGGGGAAGATATCACTTTAATATTCTCGGATTTACACTTTCAATACTGACAAAAGCTTGAAGTTACATATATCCCATAAGACCCGAGTACTAAGTCATACCAAAGATAGCATTTTACATCTTATTACTGGAGTTTGCCATCGTCAAACAAAGCACTGTATTGTTTGAGGTAATTTAAATTTCTCAATAGTTTAATTCACAGCATCATAACAATGATGCAAGGTTTTAGAAAAATGCTTCAGATAAATATTGGAGTGCGGCGATCGAGTGTATAACAGCGCTCGCTTCCTGTCCCATGGGTCTTTGTTCGATCCCTGGGCACTCTCAGTTCACCCAGCTGTAAATGGCTACTTAAGATTACAACTTGGGGAAGTGAATGGGGTTGAGTGCAATACCGGCCATGCTGCCTCCCTGTATACCGAAAGCTTAGTATACCTTACAGTGTGCTGTATCCACACCCGAACGGGCAGTCAGTCCTATGAGAACCGCTTTCACTTTTCATCAGATAAATATCTTAAGGCATATTCCAGGCACCAAGTAACGCATCTGCTCGTGAAAGTGTTATCATTGTTTAGTTAGGAAATAATATAAAATAGTAGACTGAAGATGTTACTCAAGTGTTCGATAGTTTACATAGATAATGACAGCAAATCCTAGAATTATTATTTTATTATTATTACTGTATTATTATTATTATTATTATTATTATTACTATTATTATTATTATTATAATTATTATTATTATTACCGTTAGTATCAATATAGTTATGATATTTTGTTATTAATGATGCCATTATCATCATTTTATACATTTTATATAGTACTACAGAGGACAGAGTTCTCGTAATAGACGGCGGTAGCTAAATCATCCATCCATGCAGTTATTACATTACAAAATTTAGAGATAATCTAATGCAAGCAATACTACATACTCTTATCATATACTGTACATAGAATCTATCGTTACAGACAAAATAATGTATGCAAAAACAGTGGTACGGCTAAAGATAAGATTATAACCATCAGTTAGTTCATGCACACAGCTCTACCAGAGGTTCACGTGACTAATATCTGAGAAGTAAGGAACTCAAACCCCGGTAGAAGTGTTAGGCATGTTGAATATCTCTAATGTCAATGATAAATTATTGTAACCACGTACAAGCTAGCAGGAAATGTTGGTCTGCAAGAACTCTCAGTCGTAGTTATAAACTATATTTCTTAAGACTCTAATGAATGGTTGTCGATGACATATTAAAGATAGGATATCAACATGAGCTAGCAGAGGTTGCAAGTACAGTACAGTATTACCAACTCCAAGATGAACTTAAATGGGCCTTTTATCTTCCCACTTTTCGCTACATCTACTTAGTATACTGTACTGTTGAAAAAAAAACCCTATTTCTATGTAATGTAGTTATGTTGACAGTTTATAAGGTGCATTAAGGCTACATATATTGTACAACAGTAAAAAAGTAACTGCAAACTTAAAAGATGAGAAGAAAATCATCCTTTTATATTACAAACAATAACTACAGTACTTCCTAGCTCTACTAAAAGTTACAAGCAAGCATTAAGAACTCAAGTAATTAAAGGTGCATGCTGAAGAACAGAGGCTGGAGGAGGAGAAGGCTGGAGTTGACACCTTGATTAGCTTATCCCTGTACAACTTTTCGGACTCCCAGCGCCTGATGGGGACGGTCTTGCCGTTCCTCCTGAGACAGACTCGCAAGTCTGCCTCGTCAAAGATGCTGACAGGGTCAAGCTTGTGCGTATTGATCTTCTCCACCAAGTATTCCGTGTAGTGTAACCTGGAGTGAGATAATGGAGAGGTTTGCCAGAAAAACAAGAGAGAAAATGACGAATTAAAGGACTGTTACCTTGGAGAGCCTCTTGCGGAAGTACTCGTCAGATTCCCAACGTCGCCGCTTGGGAATCTCCATGTCCTCCCGACGTAATACTAACCTCAAATCATCCTCTTGCATCAGGGGCAGCGGGTCTATTTTATTTTTATAACACAACCGACCCAAATAGTCAAGGTAGTGGTTTCTGTAAAGAAGGAAGTTGGTCTTAGAGCGCATTAATCATTTGTTCGCTAAATTCCAAGTCCTGTAGCAGTGAGGATAAATAGAACTTGACTTTGCTATTAACCAAGCATTCCTTCTTCACAAAAACCCAACCTATAACATACACACGAGGGTTTTCCAATCTGGGAAAGGAGTTGGCTGGTTCTCCCAGCACAATTTGGTGCACTGGGAGAACCAATTAATACCAGTCCAGTGAAGTCAGCGGAACACTCAGGGTGAGATCCACACTCTGGGGTATCTGGAAACTCGAAATCTAAGACTCTGAGGAAGCTCACCAGGGGAATGAAAAAAGATGTTGTGAAGGTAAAGGGAAGGTTGACAGATCTTTCAACTTTCAATTCGTTATTCCCATGTTGGACGGGAAGTGGTGTGGTTAATTTCATATGGCGTTAGTGAATAGTCTTGACACACAATAAAGTACCAGTTATGGCCTTAGTGAAGTTAGTTTCACCAAGTACTGAGTTCTCTGCCAACATTAGACCTCAACACTCATTTTGACTAATATAAAAGTATCAGTGAAAGAACTTAACCAACTATGCAGATATAATAAAATAAAAATGGTACTTAATTCTTAATGAGCATTATAATATTATATAAAAACAGATAGTGTAACTGCTTTACCAAATATCCAAATTTTGACAAATTTACCAGCGAATTGGTGATCTCTAGCAACCCTTTCTATCATAATTACCATCTTGAAAACTCTCCTTAATCTGACAATAAGGTAGTTGAGGTTGACTGTTGACAAAAATATAGCCAACTGTGTTCTCTCTCTATTGGCTTCCTTAAATCAAAATATTAATCTGATAAAAAATCTATTGAAGTCATTCTGGGCTATTTTACCTTCATGCAAACTATTTCAGGTGCTACTGTTATGTATTATCCAACCTAATAGAATTATAACTTAAACATGCAGTGGACGCTTCTAATATGAGACCAAGATCGTAACTCGAGACTGAGGAGGTTTAGCAACACAGTCTTGAGCCCTCATGCTAATGTCAGTTTTTCTTGTGAACTATTTACATACGTGACAATAATCTTTGGGCAACATAAATACACAAAAAATTTTGTTCTCCCAGAGTTGTTAAGGAAGCTTGGTCTTCTGAGTTAGGGTAGCTGGGAGGTTAACGTTAGCACAGACTACTTCCTAAAAGTTAGATGTTATATCAGTTGTAAGTTACATTAAAAAAAACATCTGTTTAACAATCATAGATATTTCTAAAACTCTCCTTCCGCCTTAGAGACAAACTTATCTCCAAGTAACGAATCTGACTAAAATGATTTTGCAGTATTGTTTAGGTTCTTCAGTACACGGCACTAGAAAAAAAAATAGTGTTTCAAGAGAAATGCTCGCTTATACGGCAGGGATAAACCAGAATAATATCTTGGAATTGTGCTGTGGATGGGAGGCGCCATAACGAACCGCCTCTGTTACGGCAGTTAGCGAGAATGAGTCACTGTAAATGATGGGGAAGTGTGTGTGTGTGTGTGTGTGTGTGTGTGTGTGTGTGTGTGTGTGTGTGTGTGCTCTTTATTTCAGCCACTCGACACCATAGTGGGAGAGAGACTAACAAGAACGAAAAGAAAAATATATTTCAGCCAATGATGATCATTAAATTAGGTATGTGAATGTTTGTGTTGTCAATTTAACAGCTTGTTTTACTGAAATATGAACAACAATTAATGTTATTGCAAATGGTGACCAACATAGTTATTCTAGTGCCTAAGATTATGAGTACGTACTGTCACTCCCTGTATAGTATGACAGTTCATAAGTACTGTAACTCTTATCCCTCATTACAGTATGTAAGTTTGTAAGTACAGTCAGTCATCTTCAGTACAGTATATTGTATTTTTTTTATTAAACACTGTAACTCCACTGTGGTCTTTTAAATACAGTACCACCAACCCTAATATGGTTTCTAAACTTACAAGTACAGTACTCATAACTCCTATCAGTATCATGTTTCTGTAGGTGAATAAATATTGTCACTATACTTGTCTTTGAGTGTGTATAGACAAGTACTGTCAATACCAGCTCTGACAGTGAATTCTCAGGCGTCATGACGTTTAGCATAAGACAAAACAAAATCCCCAGTATGGATGATGTGACAAGGAACACGACCAGGAATAAGATTGTCACTGATATCTTGAAACACACACACATACACACACACACACACACACACACACACACACACACACACACACACACACACCAACTCTATACGTGACTTGGTTACTGTCATCGTGACACTGACCATGAAAAACGTCAGTCATTTATATATATTTACACTACTGCAGAACTGTCCCAGTGACTCATACTTGTTTCTGGTAAGGTGACTGAGTTATGTCCGTCCGAGTAAAGGATATACTGTATCTGTAAGGGTATGGGTTATGCTTATTAGGATTCAAGTACAGCAACTGTTAAAGTGACAGGTATAAAGTAGTGTGTAGGTAAGGATTAGAGTTATGCTTGCAAGGGCGATAATAACGGTTAGAGTAAGTTGAAGACCTCTTAGGTTGAGGTGTATACCTGCAAAGATGAGAGGTATATTCATGAGGATGATAGGTATAACTACAAGGGTGAATAATGTATGACTATTAGCACGAAATGTGAACTCAAGATATGTAAGAGTCCTACCTGCAGAGTCCGGCGTATCCTGAAGGTACGACACGACCACAGATGTCATCTTTAAGGCCATCAGGCAACTCCTTCTGCTCCTGTACTTGACACAGCTGTCGCGTCCCTCCTGGCGGGGGATCCTGCTGCGGTCCACCTTGGGGCTCTGTATCGAAGCTCACCCCCGCGTCCTGTAGAGTAAGAAGGAGTTGTGAGGTACAAGGTCTCCTGCAGGATAAGATTTAGAGGAACAGGAAATATTGTAGGATAAGAAAGATCTTTGTCTGATGTACAAGACCTCCTGCTGGATAATATGAAGTAAATGATACAATACTGTACCTCCAGAAAAATGAGTGGGAATTAGAGGTACAAGGCCTTCTGCACTAAGGTGTTGACGATGGCGCTATAACACTTTCTGACAAAAAGGGTATTGGCAATCTTAATTTTGTACACTTGTATTATGAAATTTTGAGTTTATACAACTTAAAACCAAACCAGTACGCCCATGAACACTGTTTTCGCTTATTACAAGAGTGACGTGTGAAAATTAATCTTTCTAACAACAAAAATGGCAGGACTAGTGGAAGTTGTTCTACCTTGAAGCAGAAATAAGAAACAATGTGAAAACTGTTTTATATCAGCTCAAAAAAGTTTAAAACTAAGTTGGTGACGTGTACACTGACCTTGAGCAAGTTCTGTAGCTGCTGTGGTTCCTTGTCCCTAAGGTAGAAGAGGCAGTTCCTCGGGTGGTGGGCGTGGAGACCCAGCCGCTCGCAGTAAGGACCCACCGAACACCTGTAACCACAAACGCACAGGTTGTGACTCACTACATACATAACATATTTGGGAAATACAGAATTAACTATTACTCGGTGATAGTTATTCATTACAAAGTCCATATGGGAGACTCACTATTACTCACTGAATGTAATCACAAATCCATCAACATAACTAGCAGCTCAATTGAATATAAGTTTTTGCTTAATTTTTGGCAAGAACTGACACAAAGGGTTTAAGATTTTCATAATTCATTTGACCATTGCTCGATTCTCTTCGTATTTAGCTAAATCTCTACTCCTTTTTTAACACGGTGACTGGGTTACTCCTGTATGGGCTTACCTGGAGCCCTGACGGAATGGTTGGCTACACCCGGAGCAGAACTCAAATTTACACTGAGTACAGGTGAAGTGCATACAGCCACCTTTAGCTAGGGAGTACGTAAATCTGTAAGGACAACATGTTCAAATAAATATAAATTTGTGAGATGTACAGTAGTAACATGTTCAACTTTAATATGGCTTTGTGAAATAACATATAACCACACTCAAAATTAATATGAGTTTGTGAAGAAAAGATATACTTGATACTGAGGAGACAATTACATTAAACATCAAATCTGGTGAAACTTACCACAAAGAAAGAGCACAAGTAAAAAACTTTTATACGTTTGGGATTACAGTACTCCTCAAAACTCCAAGTGTAAGATGACTGAATTATTATTATCAAATACTTTCTGCTACTGGGAAGTTATGACCTGCTGTCGTGTCATGTCAAAATAAAAATTACATTAAATTATGTGTATGTGTGTATGTGTGTGTGTGTGTGTGTGTGTGTGTTCTCGTATATGAATAGTAATGTTTAACTATAGAAGACAAATATGGGCAGGTACTGACTTGCACTTGGGGCAGGTAATGCCACACTCAGCGAGGTGTTTGGCCACGCCCTGAACCGCCACCTCCATGTCATTGTCCGTCTTCCAACGAGTGAACGCCTCACAAGATATACCCTCGTGAGCAGCTTCCCACTGACACCATGAACAAACCATTAAAATTAATTAATAAACGAAAAAGTACAAATTAAAGTAATTAATCTATAGCATCAATTAAATGTATAATATAACGGTAAAAACTGAGTTAAAGTATTAATTTCATTACTGTATATCAATTAGATAAAAAAAAATTATAGACTTATTTCTGGCTCTACAATCTCTTTCTCACTGGTACACTCACAGGAGCACGACAGTGGGCACACGTCACATCTTTGCAGTCTGGACAGATCAGCTTCCTCGCTCGTGCGTTGGCGATGAAGCCAGACGAGCACTGGGGGACGCAAGAACAGGGTTAATGTGATTCAGGCCGAGCCAAGGAAAAGATCCACTTATTATTACTACTTAATGTACTAGTGCTACACCCACTACTAATATGAATGTGATATAATAAGATTAATAAAATTATTCTCATGTTATTAGTTATTCTCCTACCTCCAATTCCCTTAATAATAATGATTAAAATACTGATTATAATGATAGTATTATTAATAACAACACGAATAATAATAACAGATACAGTAATCTGTAATAATATAACTAATAACTCCGCTCGGGGTGAGGAGGTGTGAGGGTGCGTCTGACCTTGTTACACCAGCGGAAGTTGGGATCCTTCATGAGCGTCCAGTCCCGCAGTTTCCTCTGGAATAGCTCGTGGGTCTCAGCGTCCAGGATGTTCTTCAGCAGGATATCCATGTTGTTCAGGTACTCGTTGGCTATCTCCTGCCAGGTGAACATCTATTATTATCATTGTCTAATAAAATGCCGAGGATCAACATAGTGTATACATGGAAATGCAGTACTGTATACTGTAAATATTCAATCATCATCAATCCATTGCTGACTGAGACCTCTCCACTTCCCAAGTTAGCTTATGCAACACTGAAAGCAACCAAAAACAGAGGTATATATACAGTATACTGTAGTTTAAACATGAAAAACTGTGCGAAAAAAATACAAATGTGCTAAAGAATAATTTAAAGATAAATGAGCCATGTGAGGTGATAGGTAAAAGAGTACTGTACCTCATTAGCGTCAAGTTCGGGCTCGTTACAAAACGGGCAGCGGACCTCGCGTAGGTTCTTGGTCTTGATCTGGAAGGTGAAGTAGGTCTTGGCACAGTCACTGCAGCAGCGGTGAATACACTGCAGCATTGACACCATCTGTACCAAGGAACGCAAACGTCTACACACATGTTATGAACACCGGGATTAATATCAAGGTTTATTCTAACAGTTATACTAAGAGCTAATGGATAAAACAGAAGACCTCACCCTCCGCATTGGGTGCTTCTCGGCACACAGCTCACACTCTTGTTGAAGGAACTGGATAGCTGTGTAGATGGAAGAACACTCCTCGGCCGCCAGAAGAGAGTCTGTCTCGTCGAAGCTGAAGGTGAGGAGCTGTGCCGCCAGTTCCGCCTTCTCGTAGCTCCCTGCCCGACCCTCCGCCAGCAGCCGCCGTACCGTCCTCTGCAGCGAACATATTGGAGAGTATATATTCAAGAAATCACTCTTGAAAGGTAATAAAACGTCCTTCTTTGATCATATGTATAAGATGTGACAGAAAGAAACAAGGTTAGAAAGTCACTGTTGAAACACGGAGGAAAAGACTCTCCAGAGACTTAAAATTGATACTCCATCGCGAAGACGCCTGAACACGTCAGTCAGAAATGTGAGATTCACCCAACTTACGTCGAACTGGAGTTGTTCATATTCGCGGCTTTTGGGCTTCTCCTGTGGCTCTTGCAGCATGATGTCGGGGCTTGTGGGCTCCTGCTCCTCTTTTGGAGTATCAGGTGTCTCCGGTCTATCTTCGTCGTCGTCGTCCATGCGGGCCTCCAGCTCCTTCCTCATCATCTGGATCTGTTCCTTCAGCTCCCGCATCTCTTGGTAATCCGGGTCCTTCTTGTTCTTGCGCGCCTTCAAACCCTCGATCTGTGGCAGGAACTCCCATAGTAAACACGCACTACAAGACACCTCCAATAAAATATCTATCACGTTTTAAAATAATTTTCACAGTAGGATCAAAATATTCCTTGATGATCGAACAGGCACCGGTAACTATGGGACTTGTCTTCTGTCCAGTAGGAGGTCTGCTCCCACTCGTGTGGTGAAGGCATACATATAAATACATACACACAACCTCAGTGTTGATATTCACACCTATAAGCTCCCTGTGAGTGGTGAGCATGCATGTCTCCGTGTTAGCTGTTATAACAGAGTCAAGTCTTGTTTATGTTATATAACTGTGATTCTCTAGAAGTAAAATAATTATTTCTCTCTATTTGTATTCACTTCAATCAAAAAGTATAATTCTCATCTTTTATTTTTTTATTCACCCATTAAACTTTTTGATGACTTTTTAGACTCCTAACAACCACCTTGATTAAAAAAGTCATAAGGGTGGCTGAAACCCACCACAGGCCAAAACCTTTACTAATGCACTCAAGAGAAAGAACCAAAATATTAATTTTCCAGCAAATGACAAGTACAGTCAACATGTAGTTCTGTTATATAAGGAATATTGGGGACACTTTTCAAACTTTTCAAGTTTCTTTCTGGTTAAAAACTATTGATAAAGTTTTAAGACAAATCAAATGAAAGACAATTTCACCTTTAAGTGTTGTAGACCATTTGATGGAAGTGGTTAGATAATCGCACAGAAAATAAGGAGTACAAACAATAGCACACACGCAAAATAAAAGACTGCTAGGTCAACTAGACTACAGGTTCAGGTAAAGATCAGGTCAGGTCACACACAAGAGTTTCAGAGGGATGCTACACAGTACAGGACTTTATCATGTACTTACCCTTCTATGGAATGCCGCACGGGGGGCCATTACCAAGAACAGGCAGACACAGACACTTCTAAATTAAAACGTAATGGTTCACTTATCAATGTGTCCCTTTTTTCAGTTATAAACTAAACCAGCTGGACACAAGATATTAAGACAGCACAGCTAACTTAATTTCAGCTATGAACTAGAAACAAAAATAAAGTTTTGTTCTCAACTAGAAGCTCTGATCAATAACTCAAACTACTGTAAAACTTTGAGAACTTATCACAAGTTCAGCTAATAACAAGAAACAACTGAACTCTTTCCCATGATCTATTCAAGTTCTTAAGGATAGTAGGGTCAAGACAATAACCTAAATACTGATAAAAGTTTCATCTTCATGGTGACAGTGGGAGTGTACTGTAGCAACTCTTTTGAAAAACTTTCCATATGTTAGATATAGTCGGCACTCCCTCCAAGGCAGAGACTAGCTACTGTATTATGTTTTAATATATTAAGAACTTGAGTTGAATGAAAGTACTGGAAGAAAATTACATACAGTATGTTGAAGAAACAAATTGTCATTAAGATAAAAGAAATGGTTTACATCATAGCAATATGCAATACTAAAGTTAGGATCGATCACTAACACCACTTATGACTATAATCAAGTAAATTTTAAGATGAGGTTACATGCATCATCAAAATGCATTTACTAGACAAGGGATCGATTTTGCTCACAACAAGTTTACGACAGAAAGAGTCTACGAGAAGTCTAGTGTCGAGCATTATCGTGCCCCGTGTCTGTTGTTAGCTGAGGGAGGGGCAGAGAGAAGCATTAAAGCCAAGTTACCTGTACCAAGAGATGAGGGATCTTTGGAAGATCCTCCACGCTCACCCTATGAAGCCTCACCCCGCCTTCCTCGTCCTCAGACTCCCCGGATGACTCGGGTAGTGAGGTTTTCCTCGTTCTCCTCGCTGGCGAAGCACTGGTGGTGGAGGGAGCAGCAGGGGTGGAGGTAGAGGGGGAGGTGGTCTGGGTGTTAGGGGTGCTGCTCTTTGTGTCCTCGTTGGCAGTGTTTCTCGTCCTTTGTCGATTTGAAGTGCTTGCCACAGACTCTGGCTTCACTGGACTGCTTGTGGTGTCTTCCTTGGTTTGTGGAAGTGAAGACGCTACTTCTATGACGGGATAAGGTTTATTGTCTGATGGCCTGGATCTCCTACCAGCTCTCCTTATGGTTACTGTCGTCACCATTTCCTCGTCTTCTTGGGATGGTTGTGGTTGTACAGCCTCGGGAGGAGCTGGTACTGGTGAAGGTGTTGGTGGGGGCACTGGTGATGGAGCTGGTACTGTTGGCACTGGTGATGGAGTTGGTACTGTTGGTGCTGGTGATGGAGTTGGTACTGTTGGCACTGGTGATGGAGTTGGTACTGTTGGTGCTGGTGATGATGGTGTTGGTGACGGTGCGACTGGCGAGGGCGCTGCTGAGGAGGCTGGGACTGGGGATGAACTGGCGATGGACGTGTCGCTCACATCAGCTCTGCTAGATGCCCCTAAATAAAAAGCCATCGGGTTAAGTGTTGGTGTTAGTGTCGGAGCTGTAACTTCACAGATGATATCAATCATTGCCATAATATATAATCTGCAGGCGAGTCTTGAGTTAGCTAGAGATCATGCACTTAAAGGTGCTTAGTGGTGGGCGTTTATCTAAAGCCTGAAGAAAAATCTAGCATATCTCATAAAAAATTAATAAAGGGAAATTTAAAAATAATCGTACAATATACTGTATGTTAAGAAGCGAATAATAACATTCCAGTAAAGCTTCAACTGCTGTTTTATTTAGGCATTAATACATAGTGATGAAGACATATGGACGAAGGTTGAGGACTTGAGGTGTAAATACTGTTATCATGCCGTCTGAGAGAGCATGCAGGGAGCACACTGCTGCCCTCCCCCATTAATGCCTCCTGCCACGACCCCCACCTGCGTTGCCACCTAAGCCACGCCCCTTTCGCCGCCGCCGCCGTCTCCTGCGTGAGGTAGGAACAGTCGAAGACTCGCTCTCAGCATCATTCTGGTCCTTAGAGGTTTCGTCAGCAGAGTTCAGAGTCACCTCTTCATAATAGATTTCATCTTCGCCATTGTCCCCTCGGTCAGCCTCGGGGAGGTCGGTGACCAGGGCATTGATCTTATCAAGTGTGGCGTCGCTGGTGTCTCGTAGACTGTCCAGCTCTCGTTTGACTTCATACATGGTCTCATAGTCGTCAGGAGTCAACTTTACCGGCTGTTCCTCTGCGGCGTCGGTGCCGTCCGTTTCGTTGTAATAGGTGTGGAGGGTGTTGTAGTACGTTGGTGGGAGCACTGCTAATGTTTGGTCGCCAGCACTAGTGCGTGCACCTGCGGTGACATCCTTACCTATGTCTGTTATACCCTTGTCAGGCTGGTCCTTACTAGAGACATCAGACTTGGATACACCTACAGCCTTCAAGAAGCGAGCCACGGGGGTAAGTTGCACCACGTCCGTGGGGTTGAACGGAAGAAACAGATCTAGAAGAGAGAGCGTGCATAGCCAGAGCAGGGAAGATGTACCCAGACGAAGAAGAGAAATTGAGTGAAGATGGTGAGAAAAAGGTCAAGATTAGCTTAAGCTGTGAGTGCTGAAAGCTGCTACAAGCAAGAAGCGCCCTAGGCAGCCTGTGTGGTGAATCACCTGCAGCTATGACCTCTCTCTAGCCAGGAATGTAAGTTTTTTTTCACTTAAGCTAAGGTTACAAAACATTTCACTAATATTTATACTAAATTACAAACTATTTGAGTTATTTAATATAGTCCTAATATATTGCAAACGAACGATACTCTCCTGTTGGTAATTTTGTAGCAAAATACAAATAACAAAATAGAAATAAACGTAACAAAACAGTTTTGCACAAGGACGCAACACAAGACTTTTCTAAATTCAGCATGTTATAGAGACCTTCTACACACACTTCTATCACAAAGTAGTAATGCTAATACACACTGACAGCCTAAACACTTGGTTCTGATACACATAACAAACACCACACACGACACAAAACAAAACACTAAGGTAAAGAACATTACAGCAACACTCATGACACGAGTAATAGATATCACTGTATCACATGAAGAGCCCTGACAAGGAAGTACACCACTGTTATGACGCGACACACAAGCTGACGAGAAGATACTTACTCTTTGATGCAGGTCGGGATATGACTCGACCAGATTCTGTCATTTCACTGATCTCCTCTGAAATGAGCCATGGCGACACGCACGACATCAATATTGTTTAGAATACTACCAGCCACGATCAATGGCGTCAAAGTTATATAGCGACAAGAAGATGGGGTGGCAATCATTCACAAGCTATATCAAATATTCTAGTCTTGCCCCTGCCCGAGGCGAAGGAAACAAGACTGATACCACATATACGGTAGTTTGTTATTAGATAAGTAGAAGCCGAAGTATGCAATTGGTATAATTCATATAAAGGAAAGAGTGAGTGAGAGAATGTTGTGGTGGTACCTTCTTCAGGGATGGTGTCCAGGGTGCGGAGGTGGTCGTCTTCATCAGAGTCGGACGCCGTGCCTGTGGGTGGGCACACTCTCTTATTTTAAAGTTAAATTGTGTATTTCTATAACTAATAAAAGCAATGGCTAATTGTGATATCTCATTAGTAATTCAAAACTCTTCAGAAATTAAAACTGATGAGGTGCCCCGTATTCTACTCGTGGAAGTTAACATTAATACCAATCGCTTATTGGTGAGGTTTTGATCCTAATATCAAAATTCACAATAAAATAAACCCTAATACTATATTCTGTATAATCGAGGTGGTGAGGATCTGGTCATCTACAGGTGGTAAAATTCCACGCCAACTCACCTTGGACAGTGATCTCTTCCTCGCTCTCTGAAGGCTCCGGTGTGGCCACGGGAGCATCCTGTACCTCAGGAGTCACTGACCGACTGAGAGACTCCCGGACTGACGTCTCCCTAGCCATGGCCTTAGCTATGGCTTTCCCGACAATGACGGAGGCCTTCTGGACAGTGACGGGACCAGTGCGGGTCTGGGCCATTCCTGGTTCGTCTAAGGGCAGCAGTACCACTTCCCTCACCCTGGTTGGCTCCTTAGGTTCTTCGGGCGCCTCCTCCTCTGATTCTGTCGTTAAAAAAGAGATTCAATCAGCTTTTTATTCTATTAGTTTAAACTTCTATATAATGAAACTCAAACTACAAAAAATCATTTCGAGTGAGAAATAGCAGCTAAAGTAGAACAGAAGAAATGAAATGAAGACAATGCCAAACAAGGATGGTAAGGGAATACGGTTAGTGGAACATGCAAGTCATAAATATGATGAACGGACGTGGTTGTGACAGATGTGGGAGTGTGGGGGAGGAGCGGACAACACCTCCGGACACTAAGAGTTGACGCCACCAACACCACATATTACCTGAGGTCCGCCCGCCACCCTCCTCCACAGCTGCCGTCTCCTCCTCCATTGCCTCATAGCATGTTGAAGTGTTGTCCTCCTTTTCCTCCTCGGGGTCGTCACGCATTTTTCCTCCCATCTCTGTCTCGTGTGTATGCTCCACGGCCACTACTTGCTCCGTCTGAATGACTTCCGACTTAACGTTAATACTGGCAGCACTGAGAGACAGACTCAACCGTCCAGTAGTGACGCTCAAGGACTCCTCATCGTCATCACTCTCATCACACTTCTCAGCGACTAAGGAGTTCAGCACGGAACTAGGAGCAGACTTACTCTCGTTTAGGATGCTGGTTTGTGTGAGATGCGGAGAGGAGTTATCCTGATCAGACGGAATGGTGCCGGCTGCCTCGACGGTTTCCAAACGCAGTTCAGGTACGGACGCATAAACAGGCTGAAGCCGGGAGGCAGGACTTTTATCAGTAGTGTGTTCATACGCTTCTTTTTGAGTTGACAGGCTCACATGCAGAGTACTCGAGTATTTCGGAGCTTTCTTAGATATCCGCTTTTGACTGACATGGACCGTGGAGGTGGGAGCTTCATCAGGTGTGCGGTTGACCATGGGAGGGTCCTCGGGTGGTGGAGCCTCTGGTAGCGGGCCCTTGGGTGGCGGTAAGGTCCCAGCGTGACGGGCGGGAGACTTAGTGTCAAGTGAGAAGTTTGAGGGGGACATCATGCAGTCCGGAGGGGCTGGACTACGAGGCTCCTCGGAGTATTCTGAGACTGAGAGATCAGCGTAGTGAGTGAAAGCCTTGAGAGGGTGCACCACCACATCTGTGGGGGACAGACGTTCCCTCCGTTAACAACAAACTACTCGACCACACGACATACAATCGGGGTAAAAGAAAATTATTTTGGAAGAGTGAAGTATATGAAGATTTGGGTGATGAAGAGAACTTATTTGCGCAGGTACGAGTAAAGTCGGGGAGCCTCGCAGGCCATCCCCCAACTATGGTACAGACGCCCGGGAACCCTCGCCGCTGCCCCGATTGTTACACCGATGTTACGTCTGTGACCAAACATGTCACACGATAATTTAAGAATTTAAATTGAAACGTCACATACACAATCCCGATCAACTTCTTTTTTATATTTTCCCGACATAAGCTGAACAAAATATTCGTTAATAAAGAAGCAAACTGAAAGAATGATTGGGTGAAATATATTTTAAATATGCTGACGATGGAGGGAATGCTGTAGAGGCATATCCCGAGCATCTGTTAGTGTATGGAATGTATAATTTAAAAGCCAATATTAAGAACAGGCACTCCAAACCTCCATATCTTCACACTCGTACAGCCTTGCGTAATGTCAGTGAAATATTGAAGAAAGCATGCCAATAGCAACATATTAGATAGATAGATATATAGCAGTCAAGAGAAAGTATTGAAAGTATTCATGTTCGTTTTAATCTACAAAAGAAAGTTTTGCAGCAGGACGAAACTTAAAATAGAGAAAAGGAATTTATGCTTGCACTGTTTACGTGACATAAGGACGTTGTTACCATGACAACAGCGTAGGGAGGTTGTCATGGTCACCCAAGCCTTGCAGTAGTACTAGGGACAAGCCGCCACGCACATACACACACACCTTGGTTAACTCTTCACCCTTTGAATATACAAACTCCAAAATCACTTTCAGTTTTGTTATCTAAAAGGATTTACTTTAACTTAACTTTTCTTACACCACCAGGAAAGTGACCTTGATTGGGCAGAGCGGCTCCTGCCAGGCTGACGGGGAGCTGTGAATCAAGGCAGAGAGGAGTATTTTATACGTCCTCCTACTTGGCTGTCACGGTGGTTACAGCTAGGACAGACACACACACGACTAGGAAAGGGCCACTCACTACCTACCTTCTTTCCTCACAAATTGAATCGTCTGCTGTGTCGCCTCATGATCATTGTTGTCTACTGCTTCCTCCTCTTCCTCTTCCTCTTCCTCCTCCTCCTCCTCTTCCTCTTCCTCCTCCTCCTCCTCTTCATCTTCCTCCTCCTCCTCCATCTCCACTTTCTCCTCTTGGGATTCCCCTGTGCAGAGAAAACACCATCATGACCCAGGGGTTTTTATACCCAAGGTGACCAATGTCCTGTACTCAGTGTCAGAGGCTTGTTAGAGTTTTCCCCTTAGTGTTTTTTTTTTAGTGCGTCGAGTTGCGGCAAAAAGCGTCACAGAGATTCACATATACAGGTTCAAGAGCGTTCGTTATAAGCCAAACAGGTGCATATAGGTGGATAATGAAGAAAAAATGCCGTGGGGTCTCTTTCTCTCTTCATCACACACTCACACGCACACACACTTACCACTTTAGAATGACGTGTTGTCCGAAGTCTGCAGTGTAGTGATTGAACTGATCGACTACTCTACGAGCGCTGTAAACCTCGAGATCAATGAAAGACCCTGTTAGGTTTCTAATACTACGTTAAGTTTACAGTCAGCCCAAACTCACACTATTAGTTATATTTACGCTGAAACTACAAGCAAAATACTGCACTACGGACTTGTAGCAAACGATCTTGAATGTTAAAAGACTCTCTCTCTCTCTCTCTCTCTCTCTCTCTCTCTCTCTCTCTTTTTATCTTCCTTTTTATTTATTTCTCTCGATTAAAAAAAAACGCCGAAATTAGAAAACAAAACAAAACAATATTGTTATGAACCGAAATGTTTTTAAATCAGAGACGAAGTGAGTATAGGAAGTAGCCAGGGAGAGGTTGACGCTGGGAAATGTGGTGAGAGGTGGGGGAAGGAGGGATAGAAACAGAGGGGGGGATAAAGGTGAAAGAAGGGGGAAATACGAAATAATATCATTACAGTTAGTGAGAGGGAGGGAGGGAGGGAGGGGAATCTGAAAAGAATTACAACACAACAAACGACAAACTTCATATATAGGCCACTGTCGCTGCTTTAAGTGGCTGACAGGTAGTGGGAAAGACAGAACAGGTAGTGGGGTAGGCAAGCGACTATCTGAGAGGCAGTGGGGTGATGAACGACTGATTGGGAAGGTGGACAGGTGGGTTAGGTTGGTGGACTACTGATTGGGAAGGTGGACAGGTGGATTAGGTTGGTGGACGACTGATTGGGAAGGTGGACAGGTGGGTTAGGTTGGTGGACGACTGATTGGGAAGGTGGACAGGTGGGTTAGGTTGGTGGACGACTGATTGGGAAGGTGGACAGGTGGATTAGGTTGGTGAACGACTGATGCAGGAGGTGGAAATGTACTGGAGAAATAAAGGGAGGTGGTAGTGGTCCAGGCAAACTACAAGGAGGAGGATACTGAGTAGACAGAGGAGGGAAGGGGGGAGGGAGGGTCCTGTAGTGCAGGAGGTGGAGTGTGAGTGATTAGGAAGGTGGACAGGTGGATTAGGTTGGTGGACGACTGATTAGGAAGGTGAACAGGTGGATTAGGTTGGTGGACGACTGATTAGGAAGGTGGACAGGTGGATTAGGTTGGTGGACGACTGATGCAGGAGGTGGACAGGTGGATTAGGTTGGTGGACGACTGATGCAGGAGGTGGAAATGTACTGGAGAAATAAAGGGAGGTGGTAGTGGTCCAGGCAAACTACAAGGAGGAGGATACTGAGTAGACAGAGGAGGGAAGGGGGGAGGGAGGGTCCTGTAGTGCGTAGTGTGAGTAAGAAGAAACTCCGCACCTGAAGAAGAGGAGTCCGAGAAGCCCTCTTCCAGAAGTTGTGAGGACGCCCTGGCAGGAGACAACATCACGTCTGCCACCAGCCACGCCGGGAACACCACAAGGAAACAGTCAAAGAAGCAGGTCAGTAAAGAGAGCGACAAGAAAAGAAGTGGGAGGCCAAGACTGAAAAATGCATCTGGAAGAAGACGTCACTTAAAGTCGCGTCCTGGTAAACACACAACATCCGAGGGTATTTCTTAATCACTTACTAAATCTGATCATAGGTGTGATGTATGATGATTCTACAGTTATGTTAAATTGTAAAGATGTTCCTTGTGATATTTCAACTACAACATTTGTAAGTGTGTGTGTGTGTGTGTGTGTATGTCAGTTTTTGTGATGGTGCACGCCATTCGACAGCTTTCGTGTTGGTGTTGGGTGTGGGGGAGCGAGGTAATACAGGATCTAGGTCGTCCTCCACTGCACACTCTACACACCTCTGACATTAATTCACATCTTTATAAGCAACTCACTCTGTCTACTTAACACATGTTGCACATAAAATATAGATATTACTCTCATATAATTATTGCCTATGCATTGAACTAATTATATCTATAGTATTTAGCAAAACTTCAGCCACAATTAACATGAGCAGACATTAACAACATATAAATATATAGAAATTATTTGGGATAATATTGCAGTAAGTAATTTGATAAACATCAGAACAAATAGCTGATCAGCCTAATAAACATCTAGCAAACTCAGCTCGAACTATATTAGCACAAATTAAACTATTTAAAAAATAAACTTAACAAACTATATAAACGATAAGCAAACCAAGCAAGTTTACTGAGCTATACAGGTGTAGAGTGAGCGAAATGAGCATCTAACGAGGGAAGTGAATAACACCAGTAACTGCACAGTCAGTTAAAACAGCATTCGGAGAGTAAAATGAATATACGGTGAACAGAGCAAATAAAGACGCTAAATTTGTTAGTCTTTTGAGAGCAAAGCTGATACACTGCTACCTAAGCAGGCGAAAATGTGAGGTGAATTAGTATTGAGTGAATTAAGCGAGCGTTCAGAGGTAAATAAGTTCAGTATAGCGGACAAATCGAATATGTAGCGAACTCAGCGAGCACCAAAAGCGCTAAGTGAGTGAGAAGCAAGTATAGGTGAGTGAGAGCCTACCGCGGGGCTCGTGAGCTGGTTCTATCTCCCTCTCGTTCTCTTCCTCACTCTCATCCTCGCTCTCTTCCTCCTCTGACTCCTCCATCTCGTCCAGGTCTGTAAGTTAAGCTCCTGTTACAAATTCTTACTAATACACAAGATCCCGCCTGTGTTGTGAGTTTACTACACAAGCCTAGACAGTGTTGTGAATTGTAACAAGTTCAGTGTTGTGAATCTGTGATACAATTTCAGTGTTGTGAGTTTACAAGTCTACATGGTTTACGACTTAAGTTCAGTGTTGTGAATGTACGACACAAGTTCTATGTTGCGAATTTACAACACAAGCTGCAAGTGTTGTGAGCTCACGACACATGTCCAGTAAATGCTGTGAGCTGATTACAAAACTGCTGTGAGCTTGTGACAGAACCCCAGACAATGCTGTGAGTTCACGACAAAACAAAACCTAGTAACTTCGCAGGCTTCCCACACAAGATCATCCTGAGGAGTGCTGTGACCTGACGACATGACAGGCACTAATATCACAGATCAACAAGGCCTTAGTCGCCCTGCACTAGCCCCGTTTCCAAATATCTTTGTTAAAAATACTGTATACTTGTTATTTAAAGGCCCAGCAGCATAGCTTGTTGTTTTGTCTTTACCTCACAACACCGAAGGGAAGTGAGATCAATGTGCCCCGTCTTTACCAAACAATACGGAAGGGGGGACACAGAAGGTTGATGTGTCCTTACTACAGAACACTCTAGTGGGGAAGGGAATAGTGTGTTGTTTCTGTCTTTCTCACACAACATTAATTAAACGGAAGTGAGAAAATGTTTTGTGGTTGTGTGTTGTAACAATCCCCGGAGACCAAGGCGTGAAAATTCGTCAGTGGCAAGATTATAGTAGATTACAGTTCTAATTCAGACATTATCTCCACTTACACACAAGTTTAGGGAAATCTTAATACCCTGTGATGATACCAGACAGAAAATTAAGTGTTCTTTCTTAAGACTTCACTCATGTAACAAATATTAGAGCATAAGATGTGCGTAACATTCCTGTATAGTGGTGGGTTAATATTCACTCGTGTGTGTGTCAGAAGGATGGGTTAAGACCTACCCGCTGATACTGAGGAAGGTGTCTCAAAACACCAGTATCTACCAGTCCTAACTGTCGTATAGTGAGTCCAAAACACACAACCACTACCAAAATGTGTCAGTCAAATGGCGTCACTCCCTAAGGCCCGTACCAAAAAACGAGCACCAACACGGGCAACAGCGTCTGGCGTGCCCCTACACCCAGCTATGGAAGATACACCTCCCTCCCTCCTGCCCGCTATGAAAAAGTTTATGGGACCTGCACGCCAGACGAACATTCGCTCGCCTTTTGCCTGGAATGGCGCTTTTTCTATGGTACGAGCATAAGATACAACACAGGGCGGTGATGGGTGTCAGGTGCCAGGATGGTGGAGGTTCACTTCGTCCCTTCTTCGATATGACAAAATGTTCTAATTTTCGTCTAAACCGTGTCAAAAACTGCCGGGAAATATACAGTACATGAGAACTTATAAAGTGTTAACACAAGCAACTATCTGATTAATTAAGGATCAACCAACAAGCAACTGTAAAAGTTTAGTCCTCGAACAAAACAAATATATTATACAGTAATGGTATTAAGCAATCACAAAGTACCAAGCTGTGAGGAAAGCTAAGTAGTGAGTGTATTTAGTAAAGCGTAGCCACACAAACGTCACCACCGCCATTACCGACGGCTGTGAAATACTCGTAGTATGGGGTACTGCCCAGCCCCACCAGCAACTCCTCTATGGTCGACTCTACGGGGGGAGGGAGAAGACGGCCGTCACTCGCTGCTTTACGCTTTCATCTCTGTTACTCTCTACTCTGCACACGCCGCTGCTGTTCTAAAGCTTACTCAAGTGACTTGATCTCTCATATCAATAATACTGCATTAGTAACATATTATCATCATCAGTATATGCAGTCAAGAAGAATCTATTAATGACATTATTATTATTCAAAGCATTAGCCAGAACCTAGGAGCCACTCACAGTCTCGGGGCACAGATCTTTGTTGTATTATGGGTCAAGCACAGTTCCTGCATCCTAATATTTTACCAAAATGAGGAAATGTATTGTTTCTTGTAGTAAACAAAATATCTTGGTTTAGATTTACACAATACCTACAACACGTAGGGAGGTGTTGTGTCAAATCACAGGATTTTGGTTACACAAGAAACTGGCAGCGGACATGGAAAACGGCTGTGCTGTACTGTACTTGGTTATGCTCGGCACCAGGGTCTAATGTCCACACTTATGTACTCTAAACACTGTCCTCTTTCACCTACAAAATGGTCAACATTCTTCATGCTATCTACCACAGTCATTGCTATACAACATTTCATTGTAAAAAAAATAAAAGTAAATTAAAGTATTAATCCCGTTTACAGATTGATTCATCGTTGTCATTAATTTGTGTGGTAAAGGGCAAACAGGACGTTACCATCATCTAACTAACTACAAAATGTCGTTACTTCACTTTAATCCGGTTGTGTCTTAGAGGTGCACCCAGACAGTACTGTACAGGGGAAGCACTACTTGTAGGAGAACTCTGATTACAACAGCTTCCTACAGTCCCTAAATAATGTGCCAGCTGAGGAGTGGAACAGTCTGAACATCCCCTCCAGCTCTATGTTCACTACTAATCAAAACTAAAGCAACACGGTCTGTCGTCAGCATTAAGAAGCATATGGTAATATACGAACTAAACTACTAGCATTAAATATCATGCGTTTAAAGCGTGCTTGAGAGCATCAATATATGATGAGTTACATAAAGCTCTAAATGCAGTGAAAACACAGTGAGTGCTACTCGAGGTTGTCGCGTATGTGAGGAAGGGTCGCACACTTCTGTCTCTCTCCTACCCTCGTCAGACTCCAGGCCTGTCACCTCGCTGGCGGAAAACAGCTCATCATCGTCCAGGGCGCTCAGATCAAGTCCGCTTGGGGTCACGGGTCTTCTGTCTTCTCGGCGGTCTGACCTCTTACCCAACTTTTTAAATTTCCGTGAGTCAGGTTCTTTAGGTTTCACCAGTGATATCTTCTGGACATTAGCATACACCTGTGGTTCCTCTCTTATATGGTCAATGTTGGCATACGTGTTCTCAAAGATATCATCTTCGTCATCTGTTTCTTCCTCTTCTTCCTCTTCTTCTTCCTCCTCCTCCTCCTCCTCCTCCTCCTCGAAATCTGTTGTTTGGGAGTATAGTATTGATAGTTTCTCAGTTGTAGCTGTTACTTTCATTGAGTATTTTGTAAGTAAATGTGTATAGTGTTTGGTACATTTTGTTGAGTAATAATAACGTGGAAAGACCTGGGGGAGGTGGTGGCCCGGATACCAATTTGTTTATACTTACATGAAAGAATGGTGATGGGTATTTATCCAAGAAAATTGGTTGATTTAAGATTTATGTACACTATGGAACCTATGTTAAACTGAATGTCTGCTCGTTCACAACCAAAGAATCACTTCCTTACATATGGAGGAAATGGGGAAAATAGGCCACACTTTGAAAATCAGATACAGTACAGAACCATGAAGGGCTTGACACACCATTCTTGATGCAGGGGGGGGGGGGATATACAGTGGTCTGAGTATACAAGCAGCGACCAAGACACCCTCACTAAGCATAACAAGAGGGGGAAATAACAGGAGACAGACTGGAGTCCACTGTAATAGAAGTGGTGATAAATACGTCCCAGCATTACCTTGCTCAGCCAGGCCGGTGTCTGTAGAGGCGTCCTTCCAGGTGGGTGCTTGAGGGACGTCTTCTTGAGCAGGACGGGAGACATCCGCCTGGGCAGGAAGGGCTGGCAGGATCTCCTGCTGTGGGGCAGGAGCGGGGCTCGGTTGGGGTTCTTGTTGCATCTCCTTATGGATACGGGCAGAGAAGGCCTTGTTGGGGGTTAGCTATTCTTCACCCGAGTCATGAAAGGAGTTTCTCACGCTACTTACGCTTACACCCTGGCATCGCTCTATCATCTCCACACGAGGGAGGGAGCGTCTCTTTTTTATATTACTATATATCTCTTAACTTAATAATATTAAATTAAATATGAAGTGCAAAGAAATTTTTAAACACAGTGTCAATCATACATATTGGCTGCTAAAGATTTCACTGTAGGTAGAGAACACTTGATATACTGTATATACTCGAACCTGAAGAAGCTGAGGACAATGAGAGTGTGAGTACCTTGTGTTAATACACAAGTTTTGAGCAGCATATGAAAGGGTTAGAGGCACTTTGGTAGCACAATATTAAGTCCAAACTAAGATACCAGACTCGCACACTTACATTTACAGCTGCTCAGGGTATTTTTTTTTAATTCCGAGCGACACACATACTGATATACTCTGAATCAACCACTGCACTAAAGTCTTGAACATTACAAGACACGACCTGTCTCTTCAAGAATGGTTCCAAGGGAGAGGAAAGTTTGGCAAAGAGGAAGATCGGTATCGAGGTACATTTTAAGGGTTTTAGAAGCAGATGTTTTAATCAGGTAATACAAGCTGGGGTTCCTATACTTCACGAGACCCATAATGATGAAGACCCCGCCTCGGCAACTGATGTGACGGTCCACAGAAATTAGGAACTACGTAATATGGGATCCCACCGGTCTATGAGTTTAATAAGACTCACCTTGGTCGCGCCCCAGATCTTCATCATGAAGGGCTGGAGCTGGAATTTGTTAAGCTCCAGGAAAGCAGCGTCAGCGTCGCCGTCGTGCTTCTCCAGGGACCTCACCACCGCTTCCCTCGTGAACTTACCCCGTGCGTAGATCTCGTTGAACTGTGCAAGATACACTCCATTGGTGTCATCCTCACTCACTCAGTATTATAGCTCAGGTAACCAGCGGTACAGCCAATCGATTATTTAGTGATACGAAATAATCAAGCAGTCAATGATTGTCATTGAGTTCTTAAAATAACGAATTAATATCATCATTATCACCATTACTGTACTGTCAAAGTTATTATATTACTATAATTATTATTATCATCAATGTAATATTATTATCCGACCACTATTCCATTATATACTGACACAATAAAATCACCATCTATAACTATTCACATTAATCTATCTAGACAAAGTGGAGTGGAGAGGTACACACTCACCTTCTTCTGCCGCTCCTCCACACACTCGGTGACGGCGGCCCAGATGTTACCCTTGTGTACCCTCAGCGCCAGTCTCGCCTCCGCCCCCGTGATGGAGCCAATATCGTTGACGCGTCGTTCCTGGCCGTAGTTGGTGGCCAGGGTGGAGACCGTGTCTACCATGTGTCGCCAGTTCTCCTTCAGCCACTCCAGGGGGTTCTTGTCCCCACAGTGTGTCAGGGCAATGGATACATCTTCTGAGGTGTAGCCTGCGTCTTCTGCGTCCTGAAAGAGATGGAAGGAAGAAATAGTTGCAGGAAAATGACTCGCTGACAGGGAATAGGTGAAATAAACATGGCTTATACAGCAGTTATGTAAAGTAAACCTGAGTTACAGGTGTGATGAGCTAAGTACAGCTACGAGAATGTGTAGTGTTTTGTAGGTACAGGTACAGCAAATGCGTTAAATACAGAGATTACAGCGTCTGACATGTGAAGAGTACATGCTGTAGTGTATCAGTTAGATACCTATAGTGGTACTGCGGTCAGGAAAATACAAGTATATACAATATCTATTATAAGTGATTTGCTCCGAAACTAATCATGATAGGCGATTGTGATATACAGAGTAATCTCTCTCTCTCTCTCTCTCTCTCTCTCTCTCTCTCTCTCTCTCTCTCTCTCCTTTTCTCTTTCTCTCTCTCTCTTACCCTGAGAACCTGGACCAACTCGAGGCCCTGTTTCTTCATAGCCTCCTGACGCCTCTTGGTGATGATCTCCTCCACTGTCAGGTACTTCTCGTTCACCTCCTCCTCACCCCATCTCAAGGTCCTGCTCTGGCGTTCGGCCTGTCAGGGGGGCGGAGGAATGACGATCTTAGCCTACTTAGAATGATGATTTGTAGCCTTAGAGAATGATGATTTGTAGCCTTAGAGAATGATGATTTATATCTGAGAATGGTGATTGATTTTGTGCCCTTTTGAGGATGGTGATTTATACCTGCAGAAAATAGTGGTTTATCTGAGAATGGTGATTTATCTGTGAGAATGGTGAATTAATCCAGAGACTGAGATCCTAACCCAAGGCAATGTCAACATGCAAAAGAATGCGAGGATGCATGTACGTAATTCGAGGATGCATGTACGTAACACAAGGATACATGTACGTATTACAAGGACACATGTATGTTAAACAAGGACAAGGACGCGCGTACGAATTACAGGACAGGACATACATACGTTAAACAAGGAAGCATGTATGTATAAATGAATACATGTACGTTATACAGTCACATGTACGTGATACAAGGACAACTGTAAACATATAAGAACAATGACATGTATAAGCAAAACACAAATAAATAAATAAAACCAAACAATAAAAAATTTCCTGAAATCTTCGTCACGGAAAAACACGAAAAAAAAGATACCAAACAAAGACATGAACATAACAAAAAAAAACACAAACAAAACAAATAAACAAACACAGCATCGGGCCATCATCATCATCCCTTGACAATGGAATTTTTTTTTATCACATTACAACACGAAAGAAGTTAACTACGGTGCCCAAGCCACATAAAACTAAGGTCAACAAAAACAACAACCACGCCCATAGTGTCAACAACGACGCCCATCTTCCACACATAACTACGTCAATAGATAAACAACGAAGATAAAACAACAAACAAGCACCATGCCCACGCCAAGTAAGGGGGTAACAACAAGGGAGGGATGGGGGGGGGACAAAGCACCTCCTTCAACAGGGCGGCGAGGCTTGCAGTGGCGCTCAGATCGTCCTCTCCCTGGCCGGCTACGCTCAGGGCCTGCCAGGGACGAGAACCAGATTACAGCGGTCAGACAGTTCCAGATTATAACGGTTAGGGTCAGTTCGATTACAATAGTCAGGGTGAGTGCCAGATAACAATAATCAAAGTCAGTGCCAGATTACATTGGTTAAGGTCCGTGTCAGATTACAGTAATTAGAGTCAGATTCCAGTGGTCCGAGTCTGCCCAGATTAAAGTGATCAAAGTCACCTTACACTTGAGTCTAATGATTAAATATCTTAACGTTAACCTAATCGATCAACTTAATACATAAATAACTTAATTTAACTTAACCTAACGCTAATTTATCGTTAGTGTGTTTAAACTTCAGGTGAAATAAACTGGGGGTGTTAATCTTCAGGTGATCCCTACACGACCCTTCCCTCAGGTCCTGTTACAACCTCTACCTACTGTTCTTAGCCCTCAGGACCCTTACCACTACTGGAGTCAAGGGGTGTCATCTTGCCCTAATGTTGGTATCTTGGGGCCCTGGAATAACTCTGACTTTACCCTAAACTACCCTTACATATCGATACACCCAAACACCTGTCCTATATAAACTTAAATGTGTATGACTGATAAACATATACAGGTAATAATAAAAAATTTTGCTAATCTCCTTAATGTCACTGCCATCATTGTCAATCACAAAGGAATATATCTTGCAAATTTGCTTAACCATCAATAACGCCTGTAATTTTTACGTAAGAAAAAGGAATTATTACAACATTAAGTTTTAAGGTGCCTCTGTTTACCAAGAAGGTGAGGTGAGGCATTTTTTTTTTAACTAGTGAGAATCAATGCCCCGCCTGGAGATCATTTTAAAGGGGCATAATGGCGCACTACAGGTGGTGGAGATCAGGGCAACCAGGTGTGGGTGGGGTGGCGGGGGGGGGGGGTAAAAGTGTACCGAGAGACACTAGTGACGAAGGTACCGGGACGCTACTGGTGGTGGTGAGTACAGTATACCTTATCAGAGACAGAGCGAGCTAGACCCGCCGCATCTGAAGGAGTCAAGGCATCCTGGAAGCTCAAGGACTCATATCCATCACCAGAAGCCGGTGCCCCTAGGGTCGTGGCAGCAGCAGCAGTAGTAGTGGTGATGGTGGTGGTGGCAACAATAGCTCCCGCTGAGGCTGGCCTCTCCGGGACACGATCTCTCTCGTTCTCCCCATCATCACTCGCCTATTTGAGTCGCCCCCATAAAGCGTTAGGCTAGGGTTAGCAGGGTGTTTAAAAAGCTAATGGTGATGGTGATGCGTGAGAGATGGGTATGGTGACGTGTTGTGAGCTGAGCGTCCATGGTGCAGTGGCTGAGTATGGTAAGGTGCACTGGTTGAGTATGGTGGTGTTTTGTGTGTATGGTACAGTGGTGAAGTATTGAGTATGGTGCAGTGTTTGATTATGGTGGTGTCTTGTGAGTGTGTATAGTGCAGTTGCTGAAAATGGTGAGTATGATGCAGTGGTTGAATATGATAGTGCGTTGTGAGTGTGTGAGTATGGTGGTGTTGTGAGGTGAATGTGTATAGTGCGATAAACAGATGTACTTATTGTTTTGGGTATACAGTGTGTGTGTGTGTGTGTGTGTGTGTATGTGTGTGTGTGTGTGTGAGTGTGTTATATGTTTATGTGTAAAGAAGCTTAAGTATGTATTCAGAACACATGTGAAGTACCAAACAGATGTGTTGACATTAATTAAGAGGTATACTCTGTCTCACTTAAGGTACCAAATGGACATCAGAATATTTTGGTACCCTCTCGTGGCATCCAGTAATCTTTAGTAAGTGTTTGTGCCTGTCTGTCTGTTCACCTGTTTGTTTGATTATCTGTTGTGTCTGTTTGCTTGTTTATTTGTCTATGTCACTGTGTTAATAGATTATTTATAAATGCTGAAAGGAAATAAACATGTTAATAATGCTACACACTGAAGCAAAGTCTGGCCAGGGTTAAAGAGTTCACACGAGAAGAGAATATTAACAGCATAAGACCTTTTTAAGTAAGTTTATATGAAGTAATGTTGAAAAACTTAAGTACGGCAAGGAAAAGTAATTAATCATATCTTAAACTAAGTAACAGCAAATAAAGACAAAGGCAAAATAAAGTAATTAGGAAAATATAAGTATAGTATTAGATTTCTTAATTCATCATTACTCAAGATACAAGACGGATGAGTAAGTTAGATGAAATATAAGTTGTTGTTTCTTAAAGAGTGACTCAACCCCCTCTTGTCCCTGACCCCTCGTTCAAGTTGTCCCTCGAGCGACCTCTGCGTCCAAGTGGCCCTGGAGGAGGACACTCACCTCCTCGGAGTAGGGCAGCTGCTCGAAGGACGACCTGATGGTTTCCCTGGACGACTTGAGGTCCTCGGCAGCTCTCTGCTGCATCGTCTCCAGCGCCGTCACCAGATAGTCGTCCTCCCGGGCCCGCACCGTCTGTGTCCACACCCTGTGTTACTACATCTCCAACACCACCACCACCACCACTACCACTGCCTCCAACATTACACTTGTTATTACACCAATGCCCACGATCACTACACCTGTTGCTACACCCTCCCCTTTATGTTACTTCACCTATATCACTACCATTATTGTTGCTACATCCGCATCTACGATCACTACACTCGCTGCTTCACCCCCACCTACTTGTTGCTTTACCTTTACAACTACGATTGTTGTTACACCCACGTCTACGACCTCTGTAACTGTTGCAACACTACTACATCCACATCTATTGTTTTACATCTACACACGCACACTACTACTGCTATGCCGACACCTACAACAACATGATACCACGACTACAACCCTACCACGCCCAGAGATCACGTAAACACACAACAATGACGAAAACTACTACTACAACACGACTCTACCCATCCTACGCCTCTACAACAAGTATAACCAATAACCATGCCAAAATGTACACCTCCGCCACACCATATTAAAATTGACTAATACTAACAGATAATCTAGTAAAAAAGAACTCATTTGAATTTTGTTTTCCATCAATGACAAAAGCAAAACAACTGACGATTTTTTTTTTGCTCTGTTCAACCCTAATATTCTGGAGGGTTGTTAAGAAAATATTGATGGTTGTGATTGAAGTTGTGTAGGCTATCTTCCGGAATATTGTTCCTACTACTACGATACTATTAATACTACTTAACTACTACTACTACTACTACTTTTTTTTAAATAAATGTGGCCTCCAGCCTCCCTCAATAGCCATACCTACCATTAATACTTTTTTTTTGTCTAAAATGGCCTCCATCCTCCATCTATAGCCACACCTTCGCCGCCATTTTATTACCTTAGAATTCAATATCCTAATACACAAGTAGCTATCCTAGCTGTGTTGTGCAAGGAGTGATCTTTCTGTTGGGGTTAAGTGAGGGTGTTTCACTAATTTGGGAATGAAATTGACGCTGATATCTTCTTCCAGAGGGTGGAGGAGGGGTCCGACATCAGGGATAGTGCGCATCAAGTAGTTCCAGCGATGCTTGACTCCATGGGTGAATGCCGCAAAAGCCGAATGTGGCTCTATGTTAGCAATCTCAGACAGAGATTGGATTTCCCAAACCCACTCATTCACCTTTCCCGTTACGTACTCGGTCTTGAAGTCCGTCGTGCCGATTACTGCGCCAAGGTGTCTTTAGCCATCCTTTGTTATTTTGACCTCACTTCCACCGAACACTTCCATTGCCCGTTCATATTGTTCTGGCTTCACAATGAGGAAGGACTTGCTGGCGTTTGGGTGGTACCCTATTTGTGGACTTCGTGCTGTTACCAGGTCCCACCACTTTTTGATGTCCTCCACTTTTCCTGCTCCTGTAAGGTCATCAGCTAACGCCACTTGCTTGACCTCAGTTGTTTCAAATTTTATTGTGTGTTGGACCACTGATAGGCCTATTGCGTACATTGCCATTGCAACAGAGTCCCCCTACATTGTTCCCTCGGTTGACTGTATGATGGTATCACCTCTTAGAGCCTTGTTGTTTACTATATAGAAGTCTGATGGATTCCTATAGGTGTTTTCAACATACATTGCAAAGCTTGGACACTTGAGCTTGATGTTGTGCAGCGCGGCCTTGCGGTTAAGTATGTTGAATGCGTTTGAAGCTTCCACCAGGAGAACGGCCTCACAATCACGCTGCTCAAATATCGTTCTCATGGCGTGAATGGCAGCTTCCCCTCCAGCCTGGTGGCCAGCACACACTTGCAGGTTCCCTGCTGCTGCCCTGACATCATCCTTTACCACCTCAATTATGCATTTTCCGATGATCCACCTCAGCACTTCCCCCACCCCTATAGGCCTACATCCTGGATCCAGGGGAATGAGACGACATGCCGTCAGAGCATGGAGGTGATGGCAGCACGAGATTGCTAGCTTTCTTGCAAGGGCGGCAATGGCAGTGCAGAGATCACTTGCTACGGGGCCAAACTTGTTAGTGCTGAGGATGACTCCCCAACCGTTTGCAACCAGACCTGAAGGGCCTGTCCCTCCCTGAGTCTTCAGTGCCTTTTTCCACACCATCCCTCCTGTTATTTCTCAAACAGGACAGCATTATTATACTGTTACTACTATTATTATGCTGTTACTTCTACTATACTGCTACTACTACTATTTTACTGATACTATTACTATTATAATGTTACTACTGTTATTATACTCTTACTACTATTATTACAGTATACTGTTACTTCTACTATACTGCTGCTATAACTATAATACTGGTTTTTTTAATGGCCTCCAGCCTCCCCCAATAGCCACACCTTCGCCACCATTTTATTATCTTAATATTAAATATCCTAATACATAAGTAGCTATCCTAGCTGTGTTGAATTAGTTGAGCCGCAGGTCTATACGGCATTCAGTGACTGTAGCCTCATAGTCAATATCTGCAGCTGTTACTATTACACTGTTACTACTATTATTACACTGTTACTACTACTGTTATACTGTTACTAATACTACTATACCGCTATTATTTTGTTACTACTGCTACACTTCTGCTATTACTCTGTCACTACTGTTATTATACTGTTACTAATACTATACTGCTACTATTACTCTGTTACTACTACTATTACTGTTACTACCGTTATTATACTGTTGCTACTACTACTAGTATACATCTATTACTACTATTATACTGCTACTACTACTACTATAATGCTACCTCGCATCCTCGCCTTGCAAGCGAGCGGACCCGAGTTCGATCCTCGGGCAGGGTGAAACTATGGGCAAGTTTCTTTACGCCATTTGCCTCTGTCTACCCAGCAGTGATTGGGAACCTGGATGTTAATCGATTTGCGGATCGTATTCCGGGGTAATGGTTAGCCAGAGAAGTTGGCGAGTTGTCCGGTCTTCTCGGACTATTCCGTGACACTGCGTCATGCAGCTCGTTAACTTAGGGTGTGGTTGTTGTGTTGGCGACAGCTTCTACACCTTAACAAATTCACACCTAGGAGGCCCTTGGGCCGGCCATCCTCGATTTCGAGGGGCTTCCATTATTATTAATGCTATTATACTACAACTATCATAATGCTAATACTACCACTAGTACTACAACTATTATTATACAAATAGTACTATTCTATTATATTTTCACTACTATCATCACCAGTAAACTATTATCTACGTATATCTTCCTTGTGTCTACTTCTAATTTCAATAGTCATCATTTTTACTTTTCCCATTTCCTAAAAAATCTTGCTCTGGTTTTTCTTTTCCAAATCCTTATCTATTTTTCTTTTCTTTTTGTGTGTACGTGTCAGTGTAGGTGGGGTAGTAACCCTGTGTATATGGTGCAATGCTGATGTGTACGTGACTGTTCATGTTTGCAAGTCAGTGTTCACGTACGTAGTGTGCGTGTGTGTATGGGAGTGTTTACGTGTACTTGAATTATATATTTGTACGTGTTGGGAGTCACTTGGGAAACACGAACTAAATACGCCTTATACTGTATTATGAGTTCAACACCTTATACTGTATTAAGAGTTCAACACCTTATACTGTATTAAGAGTTAAACACCTTATACTGTATTAAGAGTTCAACACCTTATACTGTATTAAGAGTTCAACACCTTATACTGTATTAAGAGTTCAACACCTTATACTGTATTAAGAGTTCAACACCTTATACTGTATTAAGAGTTCAACACCTTATACTGTATTAAGAGTTCAACACCTTATACTGTATTAAGAGTTCAACACCTTATACTGTATTAAGAGTTCAACACCTTATACTGTATTAAAATTTCAACGCCTTATACTGTGTTAAGAGTTCAACACCTTATAGTTGGTGCTGCAAACTGTATCCTTTGTATTAACACCTCATGATTAGTGTTACGTATCTGAGTTATGGGTCCAATGCCTTAGATTCGGTGTTCAACACGCTATATTTAGGGTTGAACACTTTATATTCAGTGTCCAACACCCTACATAGAGTGTTCAGTGACTTCGTTGTTGTACAGGAATAATTCGAATAATAATTTCCAGTTCCCGAACTTGTGAACTTAGTCTCCGATGTATTTTGTACCTATTTATCAGCAGATGTCCTTAATTTGCGTCAGATTAACTCAACAAAATATTCCCACAGTCTGTCTGTATCAGTCTTATTCAATCTGTCTGTATCAGTCTTATTCCAGTCTGTCTCACTCCAGTCTGTCCTTAGATTACTTGAAAAGTATTGGTCCCTCTTCTAACAAACAGTTCTCTTCTGTTTTTTGCTCTACAAATCTCCAAAATAATCACAAGTCCTTGCCGTCTCTTGTGTCTTTATAACTGTGTCAGTCTGCTTCTTGTTTTCGAGGAATCTGAAGTTGTCTTGTCTGTGTGTATAGTTATAAGCTCTTCTGTCTGCTGTCTTTCAGAGTACTCATTAGTTAATCTACTCGAGGATTTTGTTGAAGTAATGCAAGTTTCTGAGTATGTCTGCTCTTTATGCCTTAAGCATAATATTAAACCTCTGTTGAGATATATTTAGTGAATACCTTAAAATGGCTTCGTTTAACAACTCCTCCTCAAAAAGTACACATTTCTGGTTATCAGGTACTACTTAACTGGTCCCTTAATTATGAAGGTTCTGGTTGCCCATTGAAGCCAAAAGTCCTTTATCACTTCTACCAGGTGGAGTTATATATATACACGTATATATATATATATATATATATATATATACAGACAAGATGTCTTCATAGTAGGTTGTCTTAACTGCTGCCCGATTTCGGTTGTGTAATGAACAGACAAATGTATACGACACAGTGGAGACGTGGCATACAGATAGATGATTACTGAGAGAGAGAGAGAGAGAGAGAGAGAGAGAGAGAGAGAGAGAGAGAGAGAGAGAGAGAGAATACATTACAGTAAGATGTCAAGTGAAAAGATTAATATTTCCTACGTTAAAGTGAGAGAGAAAGTGAGAGAGAGAGGGAGGAGTCCTTCGTATACACTGTGTAGTGAGAAGTGTTTAGGGTTCACCTGTGTGTGGCCAGGTTGTGGCTTGTCCTGGAGCTGATCGCTGAGGGATAAGTCCGGTGAGTCCGGCGGAGAGTAAAATTGTGCGTCTGAGGAGGAGAAGCTGAGGGGTGTGTACTGCCTGTCAGGGGGTGACGAGTTGAATCCTAGTGAAGACCCTGAAGAGGCTGAGCGTTGTACCTCCCCACGGATGTCCATGGGTGACCCCTGCTTGACTTTGACCTCTGGTAGTAAGGTCATATCGTTAGCGACGTCTTCCTCCTGCTTCTCCCCCACTTGGGGTTCCTCATCAGCGGCTCCACTAGTCGCTGTCTGATAATTGTCCTGTTCTCTGTCTGTGTCTCTGGTGTTGGTTATGGGCTCTACTTCAACTACAGGAGCCACGATGTGTGCAGCTGGGTCTGCTACACTCTCGTAGCTAGGTTCATATAGTGGTTCAGGTGGCTTAACCTTATCTACTTGTCCAGTGTCATCTGATACAGCTACCACAGGCTGCTCTTTGACTGCGACTTGCTGAGGCTCCGCTTGTATCACGAGCTCAGGCCCAACAATTATAGTTTTTGGTTCATCAATAACTTGATCCTCTGGTGTCTCGGGTCTAATGTAGTTGACCACCGGTACGTCGTCATGGGGTTCCACTATCAAGTCAGCACTGTGGGGGCGGTCTTCCAGGTACTGGCTGTTCAGATCTTGGTCCGCTACCTCGTTCGTCCCCATCGTTGCTATGTCGTCAAGAGTATTAGCGAAACTGGGGTCATCACCGTCAGCTCGAGACGTCCTTTGTGACAGTGCCGGGGACTTGCTTTTCTCAACTCGAAGTCTAGGACTTGGTGACCTAGATTTCTCACCATTAACCTTTGGCTCAAGAATAAAGACTTGGGGCGGCTCTTCCTGTACAGGTATTTCGTCAGGCACACTGCGAGCTGGACTGGACGCTTTGGAACCCCTTGATTTACTTTTTCGCTCACTACTGTCTGATTTAGATTTCTTAGCATTTTTGAGAGTGGCCTCAGATACCAACGTGTCAACTAAGGTGCCATCTTGAGAGTTGTGGTGTCCGTTGTGATCGGCACTGAGGGTGTTGTGGTGGGAGCCGCGGGCGTCCTCTGGGAAGCTGTGGTCAGAGCTGCCTTCCAGGGATCCCTCGTCATCAGCTGGGCTGGCGCGCCTCGGCGTCTGACGCCCTGGTGTCCTCGACCGCTCCGAGTGGCTCTTGCCCCGATTCTTGAAGCGACCGACGCTTCCTGTAACATACAGGAAACACGGTTTTAGGATTTCTGAGTGAAACTCATGTCCGAAATTGATGCATTTATTTAGCAAGATCATAATGACATTGCAAAATGAACACATGAAGCAGCATAAAAATGGACAATAAACAAAAGTCACATCAAATATAGTCATGAAATATATGCCCGTATTTATTAAAGAATATGCTGTGATGCACAGACAGAATAATATTTGTTCTTCAGTCTTTTGCAGAACAATGTTCAATACTGCACGCACGCAATGCACATAAGTCTAAGTTCAGTCCTTCCACCTAAGTTTACCTTCTTTCTTGCGTGAGACTCTCTCCCTGTCTCTGTCTCTGTCCTTGTTGTTGCCTCCATCATGGTCGCTGCCTCGCCTGCGGGAGGAGGAGGACACCCTCAGGTCCCGCATGTGCCTCTCCAACTGTTCCTCCTCCTCACCCTCACTCCTGGACTCGGAGTGTGACCCCGAGCTGTCTCGCCGACGGGACTTTTTCTTACTCTTACTCTTGCTGGAGCCCGACCCCTTGGTGCGGGACTCTCGCTTACTCTCCTTAATATTAAAGGATAAGTTACTTTTCACTACGCCGCCGCCGTCGTTGTCATAGTCGGATACATCTCGGTCGTTATCTTCCTGATCAGTTCGTCGTTCCCGTCGTCGTTCAGAGCGTCGTCGTTCACTGCCTCTTCGGCTAGTGCGGCCACCGCCTCCCACGGTCTTGGAGCACATACCGCAGGTTCTCGCACCACCGGAATTGATAAAAGTGCAATGGTCGCACTGCCAGGCCAGGCTGCTCACGCCACCGTGCCCGGACTTGCTTTCCCGGTCGTCGACATCGCCGTCGTCCTCACTCACAGACGAGGACCGACTGTCTTCACTTTCTTCTGAGCGCTTCACTTTACGGTTACGGCTGCGGCGTCCACTATTGTCGGCGGCGCTAAATGACCTGGATTTGCTAGACTTGTGTGAACGGTGGGAGGAGGAGCGGACTGAGGGAGCTGGAGAGGACGGTACCTTACCGAACGTGTGCATGGAGTCAGGAATTGACATATTGAGGCCCATAGGGGTGCCCATGGGCGGCGGGGCCATATGTGGGTGGTAACCAGGATAGTAGCCGGGGTACATGGGCATGTGATGGTGAATGTGAGGGGGCGGCGCCGACCACGGATACCCTGACACATCACTGCCCACCGACGATAGATTCATGGAGAGGTTGGAGGCGGTGCGCTTCATGCCGCTCATGTTGGGGTGACCTGTGAACATGGGCGGCGCCTGGCACAGGTCACAAGGGGCACCCCACATCATCCCGCTGCCGAAACCCATCATGTTGAGCTGCTGGAAACTGTTGGCCTGTCAAGTGAGAGAAGAACACGAATCATATAAACAATAAATTTATGGCATATACATAAATAATTAATACGTGAATACTTCACTACAACCAACTACTGAAGGTGGAGATGTGGGTGAGTGAACGCACCGCGTGAGCGTTGCTAAAGCCGTGTGGGGGCTGCTGCTGGGCCAGGGTGTTGAGGTCACACACAGAAGCCGAAGACACCATTCCACGTCCCAGGGTACCACCAACACCTCCTCGCCCAGAGTTAGTCACGGTGTTGTAGCCGCGCCGGGTGGTGGTGCCGGCGAAGGAGGACATATCGGCGGGGATGTGGCCAGGGGGACAAGCGGGTCCTGTGGGAACCTCCGTGGGCTCCGCCGGGGTGGTGCTGTTGGTCTGTGCGGCCATCATCTGGGCCCACTGGTCGTCAGACACACTATGAGAGCGTGTCCGTGGCTGGGGCTTGGCATTGTCCCCTTCCCAGACCACTCCGCCCGGTGTGGGCTCCACCATTGAGGTCTGCGAACACCAGAGACACATGAGGCACAGCCACTACCATGACACTAACACACACACTGGCTGGCGAGGGTGACACATGACACAGCCACTACCATGACACTAACACATACACTGGCTGGCGAGGGTGACACATGACACAGCCACTACCATGACACTAACACATACACTGGCTGGCGAGGGTGACACATGACACAGCCACTACCATGACACTAACACACACACTGGCTGGCGAGGGTGACACATGACACAGCCACTACCATGACACTAACACACACACTGGCTGGCGAGGGTGACACATGACACAGCCACTACCATGACACTTGCCACATGCACACAGCCACTGACACTAACACACTGGCTGGCGAGGGTGACACACGACACAGCCACTACATGACACTAACACACACACTGGCTGGCGAGGGTGACACACACACACACACACACACACACACACACACACACTAAGGTTTACAAGATGCATACGTCATCATAACTACCGTCAACGAACACTATCTCTCACGCTTAAAATGACATAGAAAATGATTATGACGATGGACTAAAATAAATGGTGAATGTGTGATGAAGAAGAAGGCACTGAAATATGAGAGAGAGAGAGAGAGAGAGAGAGAGAGAGAGGTGACAGTATTATACAAGGAGTGATATAATATAATGGGTGACAGTATAATAGAAGGGGGTGATATTAGTATACAAGGGGTGATGATACAGGGGGTGATACTATAATACAAGGGGTGATACTATACAAGGGGTGATACTATAATACAAGGGGTGATACTATAATACAAGGGGTGATACTATACAAGGGGCGATACTATGATACAAGGGTGATATTAAGATACAGGGGGTGATATTATGATACAGGGGGTGATATTATGATACAAGGGGTGACAATGATACAGTATGTGAAAGACTATGAAATAAAAAAGGGAATGATGAGGAGAAGGATGGCAAAGACGACGATGTGTGTGGTGAAGACAGAGTGTGGTGAAGAGTGTGTGTGGTGAAGAATGTGAGTAGTGAAGACAGTGTGTGGTGAAGACAGAGTGTGGTGAAGACAGAGTGTGGTGAAGAATGTGAGTAGTGAAGACAGAGTGTGGTGAAGACAGAGTGTGGTGAAGAGTGTGTGTGGTGAAGAATGTGAGTAGTGAAGACAGTGTGTGGTGACGACAGAGTGTGGTGAAGACAGAGTGTGGTGAAGAATGTGAGTAGTGAAGACAGAGTGTGGTGAAGACAGAGTGTGGTGAAGAGTGTGTGTGGTGAAGAATGTGAGTAGTGAAGACAGAGTGTGTTGAAGACAGTGTGTGGTGAAGACAGTGTGTGGTGAAGAATGTGAGTAGTGAAGACAGTGTGTGGTGAAGACAGAGTGTGGTGAAGAGTGTGTGTGGTGAAGAATGTGAGTAGTGAAGACAGAGTGTGTTGAAGACAATGTGTGTGTGTGTGTGTGTGTGGTGAAGACAATATGTGTGGTGAAGATATTGAAGGTAGTATATGTGGTGAAGACAGCATGTGCGGCAGGAAGACTGTGGTGCGGGCGGTACTAACAGCCAGTTGCTTGCGTCTGTTCCTGTTTCTGCGACGGATGACGGCGGGCAGCGTGCTGTCTGGGGTGAGGGAGTCGTCGCTGTAGTCTCGGGACTTCTTCCCTCCCTCCTCCCCGAAGTTGTTCATGTCGTGCGTCATGTTGTTGCTCATCCCCAAGCTGCTGCTACTCCTGACTGTCAGCTTGGCCTTGACTATGTCGTCCTCGTCGTCGTAGCCGTTCATGTCTTGAACCTTACCGCCCGTGATGGCTAGGCGACCATTGATAAGCTGCTGCTGGTCCGAGAAGTCGTCCTTCCACGGGGAGTAGTGTTGGGAGGGCAGGAAGCCGCAGGTGGCGGATCGCTGTATGCCCATGGTGTGGACCGGGTACCCGCTGCCGCCGCCCATCTTGCCGGCGGGTAGCGTCAAGAAGCCGTGCATCACAGGGAAGGAACCCATGTCGTTGTTCACCCAGGCAGCGGCGTTCCTCAGGTTGTTGACCTCTATGTTATCACAGTCGGGACAGTGACACGGGTACCACATGGTCCCACACACACTGACTGGTCCCTCTCCTCTACTCCACACTCCTTACATCATTACTTGGTCCCAGTGTAAATCAACAAACACTATAACTTATCATTAACTCACAGAAATATTCGCCAATATACTGTATATATATATATATATATATATACAGTGCTTGCCTCCACCTCTTGGTACACACTTTTCTATCAACACAATAAACCGACCCTGAAAATTAAAACATGTGTAAGTTGGGTAAGAGAACATCAGTTACAGCTGGCACTTAACATCCTCGGCACGGCCAAGCACACGCACGGCTGGGCTGGGTGCATGAAAACAAACAGGTAGGCGCCCGCCCCTTGGCACCACTCCCTGCCAACCCCCGCATCTGCGTAAGTCCACGTACAAAATGGGCATTTAAAGGCGCCGGTGGATGGCAAGCTGGGCCACCAGAGCTCTTGCTGGCTGCCGGGAAGCAAGGCAACATAAATGTTTTCCCCCAACAATAATGAGGTGTTCGGGAGAGAGAAAGAGATAGTGAGATAGAACCAAGAGTAAAGGTTAATTTTAACCAAATATCACTACTAAGAAAATGATGACCTCGGTAAATGAAGCTCAAAGTAATGGATAATTTAAAGACTGTAAGGATGACTCGAAAATATTTGTGATCCCGAGATGTTGTATGACAAGTATAAACCACAAGTAAACACTGAGACCACGTCTTCCTCATACTAGAGTACATCAAGTACACCAAGTACGAGGTGAGTAGTCTAGTTATGGGAGGTCCCAGCCCACGCCAACACACACACGGGTGGGTTACCCTCAACCCGTCCTCCCACCCAAGTCAACAGCCAGGTACCTTCCCTTAATATGCTCCAGTAGCTATAGTAGTTATTTCTGTTTTCTTATCCACCAATTTCAATCTTTTTTCGTCCCTCTGTTCATCCCTGTTCACGTCATATCCTGGAACACTTTGCTAGTCCCTCTCCTCTACCTCCTCTTGCACAACATTTCGTAACCACAGATCATCATCTCTCAAGTTTCTCTTCTCTCCGTACTCCTCTACTCTACCGTAACACTCACTGCCTCCGGAATTCACTTGATCGCATAACTGTCACCTGTGTAAACATCTACCTGCTACAGAGCGCGCACGCGCTTGTGTGTGGCAGGTGTGTGCGTTGGCCATGTTTGGGTGTGGGGGACGCGGGAAGCAGCAGGTGGTGGCTGTCGTGTCTTGGGGACACCCTACTTGACGTGTACCATGCTAGTACTCTCTCCCTCACCACCATTACTCCTCCCTTATAACTCTTCACACTTTCATCTCCTGTCACCTGTACAACACACACGCCTGGGTAAGAAGACTGAGAGTGTCGAGACATGTGGAACCATTGACTACAGCAGACAGACGGCTACAAATAAAATTATAGGAGCTGCAGGTGGTGATGCTGAGGAACTAGGCAGTGATGATACTGACGAGCCAGATGGTGGAGATGAATCACCCTGCCAAGGAAACAGGTTAGACCTATGGGACTACTACCACCAGCTGAGGGAGGATAGTGGTGCAGCTGGCTCACAAGATCCAAGTATACTCGACCACATGGTGGGCTGGCTAGCTGGCTGGGACAAGATGGGGTCTAATTCTGCCACTTGGCCCGTGTTACACCGGCCAAAACTCTCCTTGCCTTTACACCCAAAACTCCCTCCACTGCTCTGTTGTTTGGCAAAACTGTGACTCAGTACACTCAAGGTTAGTCACAGGAGACGAATGGATAGATACCGCCATGCTATCATCGGTACTTCCTCGAGATGGTAGAATCGGGCAGCGGTCGGGTCGGGTCGGGTAGGGTCTGCTCGGCTCTGGTTGGGTTGGGTTGGGTCGGGTCGGGTCCGGTCGGGTCGGGTTGGGTGTCGCAGGGAAAAGGGACGTAGTATTTCAGCGTCTTTTTAACCTTGTGAGGGACGAAGGTGTTGGTGCTGGCAGCGGGAGAATGCTGACGTTGATCTTGTGTTTGGTGACACTGGTAGAGCTACAGCCTGCAGGGAGGCATGTCTGGCTCCTCCTCCCCACCACTCATCTCCCCCTTCTCCCCCTAACCCACCTGCTTCCCCATCTCCCACCTTCCCCTAACCCACCTGCTCCCCAACACCAAAGTAACTAGATACTGCACGCGATGCCCAAGCCAAGTGTCGGGAGCTCCGGAAGCGATGATGTTCAGTGTCCCTGACAGACGTTTCGGGGTCGAGGTCATATCAAACAACTTGCGTATGATTTCTACTTGAATATAACGTTAATACCACCACCACCAGGTTACGTTGTACGGCAAGGAAGTTAAATTAGTGATTCTATTACCCTCATTGCAGAATATTTGGCTTTATGTAACTTTCGGCCGAGACTACAGAAGATGTGGCAGAGCAACAGGTGTGGTGTAAGTATGAACGCGCACGCAACAGGCGACCTTCGCAAAGTTGGCTGGACGAAGGCCTTGAACATGTTTATTACCGGGCCTGGTCTGGGAGAGACTGAGATCTGATGATGGTCGTCGTAGACCAGAACACTTGGTGAGGACCTGGCTTACACGACGGTCAGGACTCTCACCGTGGTCACCTAACAAGGCCCAGGTAATGGTCAGCTATTCAGACAACATCCTCAAATCAGATTCCAAATTTGTTGTGACCATCAGGGATCACGGCTGAGACTTACGAGTCACGGGAGCCTCACCAGGTACAACCTTCTTAACCCACCACACCTGGCGCATCATCTTGTGTTTAATAATAGATGATATACACCTGCTTGGCATGTCATCCCACCGACAGGAGATGCCCCCCGCCCTTTCCCCCAGCAGGTGGTCGTGGCCAGGCAGGAGTGAGTCAGGAAGGTACACACGAAGGTCCCGCGTCCCGGTAACTCTCGCTAGAGAACAGGGTTTGCTGTCAGACTTTACAATGTATTAATAACTGAGGCAGGAAGCGAGGAAACTGGAGAGGTGCCCACTGGTTCACTGTGGTGGCCATCTACCAAACGTCTACCATCACCTATGCCAAGTACTTATTACTCACTTAGATAATCAACTCTCAAGAGCTATGAACCGTCAATCTACCGTCGGCAGCCAACGACACTACTGATGATTAATCTGACGCCATCATAATGTTGCGCCCACCAACGGGTCACACTTACGATCACATCTTTTAAGACAACAACAACAACAATCATAACCCAACAACACAAATCACACGTAAAGCTTAAACTCAGAACGACCGGAGAGCTGAGACAAAATAACAAACTTTGTTTATGAAAAAAGTATTCAAAAAAAATTACATAAACAAACTGTATTTATAAAAGTATGAAAATAAAAGTGATATTAATTAAAATAATAATTACAGGTAATATGAGTAGTACTGGTAGATGAAAGAGAGGAATATGAATATGGTTACAGCAACACTAAGGAGGAGGAGGAAGAGAAACATTACATTTTTGCATTAAAATCCTGCCAAGATTTCTTCTCCCCTCTGAGCTGAATAAAATGGTTAGGAAATAAAATACTGAAAGTGACATCCGTAGAGAAGACTTCTCATTCTGACGTAATTATTCCCATTACGACAGTCACTCTTAACTACCGCATCTCGCTCTCATTATTATTTTTATTATTATTATTATTATTATTGCCAACAAACATCACGAGTCACTTTACACGTGTAGTTATTTACTCTTCTAGGTGAAACATGTGAGTCACCATCGACAGATAATTCAATAATTCTTTCTCAAATAAATGTGACGCTAAACACGAGACGACGGCCTTCATGTGTTGACTATGTTGACGTTGGGCAAATTCTTCAACTACAGGATTAGATGCCAAGATGCCTACCGCCGTGTGTGTGTGTGTGTGTGTGTATGAGTGTGTGTCCCCACTTCCTTTCCGTCCATATTTATTTTCCCTCTTCGTCCACTTCAGGTTTCTTGGCCATTAACTAAATTTCCTCAGCCATTTATTTCAGTTGTCCGCGACAGTTAGTTCCGCTTTCATGTCAGTTGTTTCAGTTCTTTGGCCATTGACTTCAGTCTACCGTCAATTTATTATAGTTTTCCATCCATTGAATTTTCTGTGTATTTTTCATCACTTTCCCGCTAATTTATTTCAGTTTTCCATTCATTTTCTTTAACTTTTGTCACTTCCTTCACACGACCGACACTGAGGATGTTCACCCAGGCCCTGACTTAGGCACAAAGATGGACTCAAATATTCGTCGCACAATCGGCCATTTTTTTAAACATTCATATATCCCTCAAACTGACAAAAAAAATATAGCAGCCGTCGATATCACATTCGTGTCTTAAGGAATAGCAACAAGACGTGCCACCCCCCCCCCTCCCCCATACCCCTTCCTCTCAGTTACGGAAGGAAAGAACGGGTGAAGGGTGAGGGGGAGGTGTCGTTCATGGTAAGCAGCTCTGAAAAATGCGGGTCGTGGTGTGGACTGTCAGTGGTAACAGTGGAATGCAGGTACTGTCAAGGGCACAGACGCAGGCGACGACGACGAGTGGTGGTGGTGCTCTTGGTGTCATCATCTTCAAGAGTGGTAGTCGGGGTGGGGTGGGCGCCTCGGTAGCGTCAGTCAAGTAGACGCCTAGTAAGCTGTGATCCTCCGGCGCCGCCAGAGATAAAATCTTGGCGTTTGAGAGGCATGACGGGCGTGACTGTGGCTCCTCTTCACCACCAGGAAGTCCGCTAGTGTGCCTCCTACAGCTAGTACCGAGTTAGGATGTGGTTAGGTGTAACTAAGCTCGTAAGATCAGGCTACAATTAGGTTGCGGTCAAGTCAGGCTAGGTAAATCTAGTTAGATTTAAGGGGATTAAACTAAACAGGTCAGGAAAGGTTTAAGTTTCGAGGGTTGGGTTTACATCGGGTGAGGCTAAACCAGGTTTATATGTGACTGATAAGGGAGAAATTGGGAAGATGGCGGGAGGGGCACTAGTGGACGTCATGGTGGAAAGATCCAGTCATCGAGTGTCATGCACTTAGCCGCGTGAATCCTGTAGCACCAGTAACACGTCACGCTCGTCGACACGTGGATAGTACACTTGTGCACGTCATGTTCAGAGACACGTGTATACTGCAACATCTGTAAACACGTCATGTCCGTAGGCGCGTAGATCCAACGACACGTATTGTACGTCACTCTAGGAGACGTGTATAGATTCCCCAAGAAAAGGCGTAGCTGGTACGTGGGGTGGCAGCGTGTAGAACTTCGTTACCGTTGTATCCTTCGATTTAGAGTCAGTCTCGGCTTCCGTCCACGTCGATCAAGCCTGCGAGTGTGAGTGAGGATGGAGTAGACTACTGGTGCCGCCCGCGTCCCCTTCCTCCGCCGGCACTGAGACACCAAATAACCCGCCCTCCTCGACACGACCCTCCCCGTCGCCAGTGTCACCACATCACCACTTATTTTAACCCCAGTACTGGCAACCGTGGGGCAGAAATAGTCGACACTAAGGCCTTATTCTCTCTACCTTGTGTGAATATTGCTAGGCCGTACGCTGTAAGGTCCTCCCAACCACTTAATGATACCATAAAATCATGATAAATATGGAAGATGCAGCGGGTGTATAAATGGTTGTGCAAAGGGGAGAGGGAGGCGGGAGGAGCACCCCACCATACCCACCCGATAGACTTGGCAACTTATTACGTGTTGGGGAGCCAAGGAGTGGGGGTAGAGTGCCTGGGGGAGGAGGAAAGAGAGAGAGAGAGAGAGAGAGGGCGGGGGGGGAACAAGAAAAGAACGAAAGAAAAAGAGTAATAACAAGAAAAAGAAAGAGAAAAAGAAAGAGTAGAGGTGGGGCATGGTGACGGCGGGAGGGAAGGCGAGGAGAGGAGAGTGAGTGTCTGGGAGAGGAGTAAACGAAGCCCTGCCAGAGTTCTCCTCCTCCTCCTCTCAGTAGACACAGCGGCTCAGACTGACACCCTCCGACACCCTTCCTCAGTTTTTTGTTTTGGTCACTTGTCATCATCAACCAGCTGACAGTCAATGGACGGACGGGACGAACGGATGGACGGACGGATGAACCAAGGAGTACCTGCGTCTGTCTTTCCTGCTTCCCCCTGAAGTTTGTTTACATTGCAGTGGGAAGAAGAGGGTAGGTAAGGGAAAGAGAAGAGGAGCGTCGGGTGAGGAAGAGGGGAAGGGAGAAGGAGTGGAGAAGGAGAGAAGGAGAAGAGGGAGAGGAGAGGAAGGGAAGGAGGAGAAGGAAAGGACGGGAAGGAGGAGAAGGAAAGGACGGGAAGGAAGAGGGAGGGGAGGGAGAAGGAAAGGAAGAAAGAAAAGTGAGAACGGAGAAGGGGGATAGGAGAGGAAGGGAGTAGATGAGATGGGGAGGGGAGAAGAGGAAATGGAGAGAGGAGAGGAGAAGGAGATGAAAAAGGGGAGAGAAGGGAAAGGGGACGAGACACCTGACGACCTCGCTGGGCTTACGACACGGAGGCGACGCAGTAGAGGGACGACTCCGACGACACAGCGATGAAGGACACGACATTTTTGTGACTTTTAAAGAGAGTTTTATTTATTGATATCAGGTAACCTACAGACCAGACACTCAGGTCAACACGACATGACTGAATACTCTCTCTCCTTTTCTCTCTCAAGGTAAAATAAGCTGGGGCGTAATCTTGCGTTGAGATAAGCTGGGGCTAATCTTAAGGTAAAATAAGCTAGGGGTTAATCTCAAGGTGAAATAAGCTAAGGGAGATAATCTAAAGGTGAAATAAGCTAAGGGAGCTAATTTAAAGGTGAAATAAGCTGGGAGACCTAATCTTAAGGTGAAATAAGCTGGGGTTAATCTTAAGGCGAAATAAGCTAAGGGAGCTAATCTAAAGGCGAAATAAGCTAAGGGAGCTAATCTTAAGGTGAAATAAGCTGGGGAGCTAATCTTAAGGTGAAATAAGCTGGGGTTAATCTAAAGGTGATGACAATTACGTAACCACCCCCCACTCCCCTCTTGCACAACCACAGGCAAAATAAACGTAAATAAATATCAGGAAAAAGACAAAAAACACTGTAAATTACGTCCGCCAGT